AAATCTTTTGAGCATAATCCATATTTGTCCTGTAATTGCTTAAAGGTCTTAATATTTTCTCCACTGAATAACTGATTAATTCTTATTAATCCTTTCTGAGCCCATCTCTGATAACCCGTATCTAGCTTGTTTGGAAAAAAGTCAGTAATCTTGGCTATTTTTATCATGCGTGATATAGTTAAAGGTGCTCCTATTTTCTTCCTCACTAGAGACCAGACTCTGTATGTACAATTAATCCACTCATTTTCAATTTTTAAATCCTTCCAATTTTTTCCCTCCATAAATGGCAACGCTTCAAGAGGTACCAGTGGGCAAGCATTGTTCTCCAGACCAATCCAGTTCGTCTTAGTTTGACTTTTTGTTTAAATTTTACTTTTGTTTTTATGTAAGATGCACTTTAAAATATATCCATAATTACTATTGTTGTTTTAATTGTTACCATTATGACCGCCAACTCCTTGGCTTAGATCGTCATCTTCCTTTCATAATCATTCAACTGCCTGTAGCATATGCAATTTGGTCATTTTTGGATTGAACCAGATCGCTTTGCTCTCCCCAGTGTAAACTTTGTGGTCTGTTTTTCCACCTTAGTGGAGGCTACTCCACTCTGCCATGCAGGGAAGTTCTCTAGTAGGATTTTCTTCATTCGGTTTTTTATCATGTTTTATCATGCCACCTTCATGATCTTGGGCTCTGGCTGTTATAGTTCATTGCAAGAGGCCTTACTTGTTAGAGTACAATTTATATCGCTCCAGAGCCCATCTTCTGTCCACAAATAATATTTGAAATCAATTTCTAAAAGGCGGAGGACTACAGAATGGGTAGGGGTGTTTAAAGGTGGGCAGCGTCTCTGCTGTGATTGACATTGGAACACAGCAGCACAAACATAGCGAACAAAACAGTTCCTGTGATGATCGGTTCGCAACAGAGCAGTTGGATCTCTCCCCACTGTCTTCACCAGAGACAGAGGCAATTGGAAAAAAGGACAGTACTTTTAATCTAAATTCTAATTAATTTACAGTTTTTTATCAGTCCTAAAGCAAAGCACAACAGCCTAGCATGGAGCTGCTGTTGTCAGTTCTTCCAGGTTAAACAATGAGCATAAATAAGATGCAGCAACCTCTTTTCAATATGAAGAGGGTGTCAAACAGATGGTTTTAGGCACAGAAGCAGGATTTTAACAAATGTCCAGTAAATTGTCAGAATAATGATGGATATGTAGACAGTTTTGCAGCAAACATTTAGGAGTGAGTAAAAATTTAAGCTCAGCAGTTCTACCATGTTTTACAACAAAAAATATTTTTGCAAACAAGGTAGATCAGAGTTTTAATGCCTAAAGAAAAATCTCATAAAAGCCAGGTTAAATCACATAACCTGTCTTTATGAAGTTGCTCTTAAGCCTTTTAAAATAAAAAAATTATGGATGAATCAGTTTTCCATTTTCTTTATCTTCATTTAGGTTTGTAATTGTATTTCACAAGATTTGGAAAAGTTTTAGTAGTATGAAAACATTTATAAGACACTATTAAATTAAAGGCTGAAAAAAAAAAATCATTTTTGTGATTATTTGATTTATTTATTTATTTTGTCCAAAGAAGTATTTTTATTACTTTTTTATATCCCTGTATTTATTCTTAATCCTAATTTTTTTATCTGTGTAGGTATGAAGTGAGGGTAGAAGCCTGCACAGTGCTGGGCTGTTCTTCTAGTGACTGGTCCTCAGTATGCACACTGGAGGCTCCCCCTGCTGGTCAGCCAGCACCACTCTTAGATCTCACAACTGACCCTCAGTCCAGCCTGCAGACAAGCTTTCTTCTCACGTGGTCCTCCCCAGCTCTGTCGAATGGTAGGATCCTACACTATGAGGTACACCGCAGACAAGACGCCTTGGACACAGACAAGCCGGGTACAGCAACATCTGTTTATAAGAATGTCTCCACATCATTCAAAGACAGTGGACTTCAGCCTTACACGACATACCAATACCAGGTAAAAAGAAAGGTGCATTTTAAAGGATTATTCAGTAAAATAAAAACACATGAACCTAAATCAGCACTAAACACCCTGAAGAAAGAATGTTCTCTGTTTATATGCATAAGGTGCAACTTGATTAGTGTCCTTAGTTATTTTGACTCAGTTGTCAGGTAGCAGTTGGTTTGTGTTCTTCTGGCTCGAGCATAAAGTGAAATAAGGAATCGAATTAATGAATAAAAACTAAGATTTCAAAATCAGTCTTCCGCAGTAACCTAAAACAGTTCCTTGCTAAATTTCACCATTAGCCTCATTTGAAGACAAGACTAATGGTACTAAAGCACCAGAGGATAGGCAATCATATTTTTCTAAACATCTTGTCTGAAGTACAATAACATCCTGCTGCAGCACCATCCCTACCAGCACCCATTATCCCCAACAATCACAGACACACAAGCTCACATTCACATAACTAATCAGACAGGTGTTAAATGGAGCAGTCCATAATCATGCTGTTGTGCTTGTGCATTGGCCCACTAATTGACAGGTTAGCCCTTTGGAAGCAACAATAACATTAGCATTCCTGCCTGTCAGACGTATGAGCTGAGGCCAGAGAACGGATGTAATTGATTGAGTTTGCCTGATTGTGGTGCCGTCTTTATTTACGAGACTTCTAATTTATGACATGAGGAGGGAGGGAAGGAGGAGCTTTGGGAGATGACGAGCGGGCAACGGAGCCATTAATCACTGGGCCCTCTGAACACCCCACTTCCTGATTACCAGGCAGCCAATCGAATTAACTGTTATCCTCCTTGGTAACAGAGCTTGTATTGGAAAGACCTTTTAATGGTGACCGCTACATGTCCCTGGAGAATTCGGCAGTGGAGGGGGGGACTGAGGTGGAGGGACAGCATGGTTTGTGTGAGGTGGCGATAAGCATAGGTATACAGTTGTACTCTGTTATATTGAGTGAATTATTTCCCCAAAAGTTATTCTCCTACTGGCTGATTATTCTCAGTCACTTTGTGATTTTTTTTCTGTTTTCCTTACATTATCCATCTGTTCACTCATCCATCCACCTGTTAATATTCTGTGTGCATATCTGGGTACTGCACTTTCTCCCTATGTGTTACAAGCATACACAAGGACGAGTCAGTCTAGTTTAGCACACCACGGCCAATAGAGAGAAATCATATTAGGCTAATTACACTGGGTCATAAGCTCCTATTGACAGCTTTATGCGTGCTTTTAATTACTGCCCACTTTCACACAACTTAGCCCCTTCACCCCAAGTAGATGCACCCGCCAAGTTACTGTGTCGGCCTATCAGAGCACTAAAACCCAGCCTGCTGTTCGCCGTCCAATAAAAATGCTCAAATCCTGCTTGGTAACGTACTGAAGTCGTTTGTTGCCATGGCGGCTCTTTTGCTGCCGTGGCAGCTAACAGGATATATTTTTATTTTGTGTCTAACAAGCCGAATCATGGCCCAATAGGAGGCAAGAAGACAAGAGTGTAGAGAAGGCAGTAAAAAGTTTGTAGATGATATAAGGACGAAGGCATGAGTTGTACCTTTTTAACACTGGATCAAGGGCGAGGTGATGTGATCCGACTTTAAATTTGAACATTTACTCCCTTTTCTGACTATGTGGCACAAACTTTTTATTATCACTCAAAGCCATACGTCATGCTGTGGTCTTAACTTTGTTGCTATGGAAAGAAAGAACATAGATGTTGCTGGGCAACATTGTATTCTTGAGCAATTTATCATTTTTGGCCAATCGAACCATTTAATAAACTATTGTAATGTTTTTATAGAGGTAAATTATTGTTAACTTGTTTGTATGTGCAGTGTGATCTGTTATTTTAATGGATTGGTAATCGCATTATTTGTTCTGTCTTAGAAGAGAGTTTCATTTAACTTTATGGACAATTGCTAACTACTCACAGAAAGGCAACATAGCTACTAGGATTATTCTTTCTCATTTAATCCTAAAATGTAAGGTCCATTAATTTGTTAGTGAGCATGGATACGTTTTTGTTCACTTTTGTTAGCTGATATCAGTATAGGGCTTTTAGCTTACATTCCAAATGGCCCCACATTGACCCCCAGTAAACACAGTGGTGGCAACATCAGCATTAGCAATGGAAAGGTTCGGATTAGTGCATTTGTAAGTCCAGCCTTAGTTGCTATCGCTGGAAATAGATATTTGCATTTGTACCTACCCAATTTATTGGTTTTACATAAGGCAGGATATATTGTCTGATTTGAACATTTCTTTGATCTGGTTATGTGCTTAAGGTTGAAACTGCTGCTTCAGCAAAACAACAATGGCCACATTTCAAACGAAAACACAAAGTGAAGAACAGAAGAATGATGAACTGAATTCATTTATTGTAAGCTGAGTTCTACCCTTTCATACACAACAATGATCCATCATATCAGCTCTTCATTGAGGTGTGTGCATTGCCATTCCTTGAAGCTTGGACGTTTTTTTCTCCTCCTGCTTGTATCTTGACATCTTCTGATCCATCCCTTCCTCCTTCCAGTCTCCACTCTCTCCATCTTCTCCTCTTCTTTCCCCTCTCCCTCCTCAGTCCATCTGTGCTGTCACTTAGATCAATCAGTCTGATTGATTACAGCCTAATTGACTATTATTGAGGTTAATTCAACTCTTAACACACATGCAAGTATATGCATACACTTACAAACCTTGCCGTCATAGCCACAAACAACAAACCACGCACACAGGCACACACTTTCAACACTAAAGCTTAGAGCCATCCATCTGCCTTCTGCACTACTTCTGACAGGCTACAGATGACTTACACATGCAAATCTCCACCCCGCCTGACCCTGCGCTGTGTACACCCTCTAATTATACCCAACACAAGCACACAAATAAGATTACTGTGTATGTGTGTGAATAACTCCTTGATGAAGGTGAAAAGTAATTGTCATGCAGATATGTTAGTATTGGGTTGCATGGTGAAAAGGTTTTGCTCTTGGTGTTGATGGTAGTTTTGATGGATTGTCAAGTGAATTGACTCGTACTCATTTGTTGGTCAAGTGGATATTGGTTAATTAAGAGAAGCCTTGCTCAGTCAGACTTCATGAAATGCATTTAAAATGCTGCCGACAGGGTGGGGGTAGTTTGTCGAGATTATTCTTAAAGGTGTGCTTTGATCACTTTAGTGGATGAATTTTTTGGTATGTGGCCAACAGGTGTGGGCTGTAAACTCAGCTGGTAACACCTCCAGCCCATGGGTCAGTGGGAGGACTGGACCTGCTCCGCCTCAGGGTGTGGGCCCACCTATTGTCTTGGATGTTTCATCAACTTCAGCGGTCGTGGACATCCTCCCCCCAGCTAAACCCAACGGGATTGTGAGCCTCTTCAGAGTGTTTTCCGAGGACCACGACAACCTAACTCTGGTAAAATGATGCCACTGAATAAAACCACACACTTTAAAAAAAAACACATTTACAACTGAATCTATTAGCTGTTTTTTGTTGTTTTCAATATTTCTCTTGGTCAAACAATGCTTTGATTTCTGTTTCTTTAAAATATGAGCAAACAAGGTATTTTCATCCTGCTGCTTTTCTTTTCTTGCAGCTATCAGAGGGAACATCCCATCAGCAGACACTCCATGGTTTACGTCCTTACACTCAGTACTGGGTGGGAGTTGAGGCATGCACCTGTTATCAGGTAGTTATTGCTGTTAATTGTACTTGGGCAGGTTAGATCTTTATCAATTACAATATATATATTTTAAAATGTATTATAACTACATCTTAAAGGCTTAGATTAAGCTCATATATCAGGTGATTACTCAGGTGAGTAATGCCTGTCTAGTGTTAAGATATGTTAGTTTTGATGAATATGACAATATTCAATAAAAAAAAAAATCATCTTTTTTTTGTTTCAATGAATTAGATTATTATATAAAATAGGGCCTGCAAGAAATATTATGAAGCATATGCATTCAACACTACAGGGCACTCCTGAAGCTCAGTTTGCTTTGGTTGTGACCTTCTGCGCTGTTGGGTTGGGTTTCTCATGTCACATCTTTCTCATAATGGATATCTGTGTTGTTTATATCAGGATGGTTTGCTGCAGGCACAGTACTACAGTATTAGTATTTCTAGCACTTTGGCTGATGCCAAGTCCTGCTGAAAAATGAAATTAGTGTCTCCATAAAGCTAGTCAATAGAGGAAAGCGTGAAGAGCCCTGGTGTTTCCTGGTAGATGGTTGTGCTGAGTTTGGACTTACACACAGTAGACCAACGCAAGCAGATGACAAGGCTCCACAAATCCTTCACAGCTGTGGAAACCGACAGACCTCAAGCCATTTCAGATATCCCCGTTGCAGTTGACCCTTGTTTGAAAATGTCTTCCTTCCTCTCAACTGTCCAATGATACTCTTGCACTTGAAGAACCAGCTTCTTTAGCAATGACTTTTTGTGGTTTATCCTGTGGATGAACCTTATCTTTGGGAAGGGGTTACTGAATCTGCTGGAAAGCTATCAAAGCAGCAGTGTCCCTCGTTTTTCCTTGTGAAATATTAAAATCTGTAAATCTAATTTTGAATTTTCGTTATCTCTAAGCCATGATCTTAAAAGTTAAAGGGGAACACCGGTTTTTTTTTACATTTGGCCCTTGATTTTATGTTATTACATCATGTTCTACTCACCCATATTAGTTTTGTTTCATTTAGAGCTGTTCTGAAGATATTCCATTAGGTTATATCCAAGTAACATCTTCCGATGGGCAACGACTTGAAGGCACAAACTAAACTGCTCATAATTTATTCTTTATGGTACGCCAGCATTCATAACATGTAGGCGAATCACTGTCCCCCAGACATCCGCGGTTATATTTTTTATATTTATATTTTTTTAAAACAAAGTATTTTTGAACTGTGACACAAAATTAGATGACTCTGTTTTAAATGTTTGTTAGTGTTGTAGCCGGGGTCCAGTGATACAGCTTCACACCCTTGCTGCTCCGCCAGCCGACCAGCGTCCCCCTCGGCTCATCACCCTGACCTCTCGCTCGGTTCAGATGGAGTGGGACGAGCCCATGGAACCAAATGGAGTCATTGACAGGTAAGGAACAGTCTTGGAAAAGTAAACATCACACAGATAAGTTACAAACTTCTCTGAGTTTCTGCCTGCTTTGGATTCCAGCTGTGAGCTTCATATCAGGTCCTCCTGCCCACAGCCCCCACAGCCCATCCCTTCAGCCTGCACACAGGGACTAACAGAAATCTGCTTCTTTGGCAAACAACTGAGCTATAATGTCACAGGTAATTCCACAGATAGAATGGGTACGCATTATTTGAAACAAGTACTGTGGTCAGACCCAATTTATTACTTTAAAATTAAGTGTTATCAGAATATTATGTAGTATTCAGATCTTATTACCAATAACATGACCATGAATTTATAAATCTAAGAATATTAGGAGCCAGGTTACATCTTTGAAAATATAGATATAGAGTCTGAAAACCTTCGCTGAGGTAAAAATGTCTTTAACTGTCCAGGTCTCCAACCATACTCTACCTATGAGCTGAGAACTGCCTGCTTCAATAACATGGGCAGCACTGCCTCCAACTGGACAACCGTCAGCACACTCAGCGAACGTAACACATTTATTCACTCCTTATTTCACAGCTAAGCTGTTAGATGAAGCCGAAAAATAATGTATTTGACTTGTTCTTGGTGCCTCCCCTCAGCACCGCAGTACGTGTCTCCCTTCTCTGTGGACAGCAACCTGACAGTAATCTGGATGGACTGGACCAGGACCTTTTCCCTCAACGGGTACCTGAAGGAGTTCACTGTGATGGAGAGCCAGCTCAGAGTTTACACAGGCTTCTACAGCTACCTTCACATCCCACGCACATCACAGAAAAGTGAGGGTGCTCATCATAAGAACACACATGTTAAAATACCAGGTTTTTATAACTTAACATTTTTAGACTATTATAAATCATAACCAAATCTTTTCAACATATATCCTGTTAGAATCAAATTCCAATAGACATGCCTGCTCTAAAGAAAAAAGCATGAAAACATAAAACAGCCTGGTTAGATAAGTATGGACTCAGGTACAGGTATGACATTGTCATGCCTTTGGCAGGCTTTGGTTTAAAGCGATCATCTATTTTCACACACAGTTCCTATGACTGGAAGTAAGATTCATTTTCTGCAGGAAGACAGCAAGAGTCCAAACGTGTTTCGATCAGCGAATCACTGGAAGGAGCTGAAGATTAGACATAGATAAGATAAAACAAAGTATAGATCATCAAAATATTATTGGAGACATTATAAAAGCTACTGACATGTTGTTTTACTTTAATATCTCTAAAGACTCACTCTATGATCCATTGAGAATAATTTAAATCACTTTTTCATGCCATTTTCTGTTAAAATGTAAATTAAAAACAAAAGTCTTCTGGTGGAATTAAAATCACTTAAAGTCTGAAACCGTGTAGGTCCCTATTTTACACAATGTATACATATATATGATTGCAAATTTTGGTTTGCTGAGTAGATAAAATAAATTACAGAAGATAAAATTCTCAATTTTTTCAGAATTTGGTTATAGAGTACCTGTACTTTAGCTAATCTTTAAATTTTTGATTGTCTGCAGTGTAAATTATATAGTGTAAACTAATTTAAAAGATTATGTTTTCACTGATAACATACTCTGTCCCGATGAAATCCTGCTTAGCAGTAATATTTTGTTTCTGATGTCTCTGTTTTTGTAGCCTTGTCGTTTCAGGTGACTTGTGTCACAGACAGCGGCAGTGCCAGCACGCCCACCATCAGATACAGCCCAGCCACAGGCCTTGGTAACATACTCAAGACCTGAACTATTCCAAACATTGAAAACAACATTAAAACTGCATTGGATATTGTACTAAATGAACCTTTTTAACTCCTCTTTCTGAACACAGGTCCTGTTGAGCCTGTTGATGGTGATAAGCAGGGTGTCAGCATTTCAGCCACACCTGTTTACTCTGAGCTGTGGTTCATTCTGCTGTTCGCACTGCTGGGTCTGTTCCTGCTTGCTTTACTGATTGGCTTACTGTTAAAAAGGTATAATAATATAAAGTGTTTATAAAATACTTATTAATATATGTGTATATATATATATATTTACAATAAACATATATAAGATGGAAGAATAAGAGATAAACAGGTTTCTTTTTCACTATCTAGAGCTTTGAGGAAGAATCCATCAGCCAGAGAGCGCCCTCCACTGGTCATGCTTCAGAAGAGCAGGAAGGCCGGAGGAGACGCGTACTCGGTGAGAAGCAGAGAGAAGAGCAACTCTGAAACACAGAGGGGTTAAAAGTGCAGCTTCCCTTATAGATTAGAAAGAGCAGAAAGAAGAGCAGTATACAGATGGTTCATGTAGGTCAACCCAAAGACAAACAAGAGATTCTGTAACATTAATAACTAGATAAACCCCTTTGAAAATACAGTTGCATATCAGTACTATTGAACAAATGGTTCAAAAGGTTTGTTTCTGTAGTTCAGTTCAAACTTGAAACTCAGTTATTATACAGATTAATTGCATACAGTAAGATATTCCAAGTATTGTTTTTTCTAGTTTGAAAAGATTTTTGCTTCCTCCTAAATAACTCTGGACTTTAAGCAGCTTTGATACTGTACACCTCCACCCTTATTCCAGAGTCTGGGACTTAGCTGTTCAAATGATAAGCAAAATTGACTTTCTTTTTTACCTTGATCTGAAATATGAGATTGAAGCACTGTGAAATAATCCAGTCATTTTCAACTTCACCCAGCTAAGATGTTATGTACCAGATATGCATGTGTAGTGACGTAGACCACAGACTCCATCTACAGTTCACACTTTGCATCACAGTCCTCTTAAAGCTGCTCATGTTGCTTCTGATTGTTCACCTTTTTAAACTCTGCTTAGTTCTTCCTCTCAACTTTCAATTAGTCTGTTTGGATTTAGCAATTATTTTTTTAGCAAAGACCTTTGATGGCTGGTCCTCATTTTCCAGGGATTTAATGTCTGTCTACTGGACAACAGTTGACTCACAGGTCTTTCCTCTTGTTATGTAAACCATCACATATTATGTACACATTAGAAATCATTTTCATTGTTTCTGCGTAATATTAAATTGTTCTAACAAGCTCAGATTGGATTTAATAAGCTCTTTCCTTGTGCAGTTATAATCTAAGTTTTACTTTTTGAACTGAATTACTGGAATAAAGTAAGATTAACAATTAAATTCTTATATTTTTATTGTTCTTTAAATGTCAAACATAACTCAGACTCACAGCTTATTTTTCTCTTTTATTTTCAGTACAGCACTAGGTCATATTTAAATTATCAAATTGCAACCATACAAGATGCTGTTTGGGACCCCTTGTTTGCCAAATTAAAATGTATGATTTCATAATTGATTAAAGGAACCATCAGTATATTACACTGATTATATTTGGTTTATACTGCGACTTTTCTACATAAATATACTTTTTTGTGGTTATGTCTGTTAATCACATTTTTTATTATTATTTTCTTTATATCTGTTTCCACTCCAATCATGCTCTGCTCCCTCCATCTGGTCTAATCCCCAATCTTTCTCTCAGAGACCATGTCCTGAGCTGTGCTCTAAACATCTCTCCGGCTCTATGCTCCTCTTTGATCGCCCTAAAGTAAGATCACTTTCTGTCTTTTTTTCTCCCAAACCCCTAAATGTTTATCTCACTATTCCCCCTGCAGTTTGACACTGTAGCAGACTGTGTTGAGATCAGCAACATTATACTTAAAAGCTACACTGTGTACACAGAGGTATGGGAAAGTGGATTTTTGGTGGCTTACCATCCTGCGTGTGTGCTCTGTGTTTGCATCTGCATGCCTTGTTTGTGCAAGTGTGCATACCACGGCCTATCTGATGAAAACAGCGGCCGGCTTGTTGTGGTCAGTGGGAGTAAGAGATGAACAGTCTCTTGGTTTGTTTGGTTTTATAAATATACACTCTGCATGTCATAAAAATCATAGTTGATTTCTAAGCAAATGAACAAGAGCTTTCCCTTGGATGATAACTCTTCAGCCAAAAACAAGCATTTTAGCTGTAGCTGATGCAGAGAAACTTCTCATTTCCCAAAAAAACATTTTTGAAAACATGTACTGTGGACATGAAAAACAAGTCACTGTTTCAGAAGGGTCAAATTATTGACACGAATCAAGCAAAGAAAAAACTTTCTAAAATGTTATCAAAAACTGCACAATGCAGCATTAAAAACTGGAAGGAAAGCAGGAAAAGTTCACTTTGATATCATAAACATTTGGTAAATTAAATGTCCAATAAACACAGCAGAACTCAAAACTTTCATAGTGAAAAAAGGGCATTCAACATGAACAAAAAGATGAATGAATTTAAGAAAACAGTGATGAGTGAAGTTAGTGGGGAGAAAAGGCCTCATTTTTTGTTAGGAATCATAAACATTGGCCTCTGGATTTCTGTGACCTTTCTGTGGCTTTCCTGAGAGTGATGGCTGCATCAGGGTAAGAGGAGACACGCATGACGAGATGAACCCATCATCAGGTCTGCTGTAGGAGGAACTAATAGGCTTTGGAGTTCCTGAAGACAGGGAGGTCTTGGTGCAGGACCTGTTCTGCAGGCCAAGGATGTGCATAGTGGTCCTTCGCTCCCATCATCCCTGCAAGAACAAAAATAAATGCTTCTCTCTGGACAGAAATAAAAACTTTGTAACATGACGATAAGAAACTGCAAACATTTTAATTTCAATTAAGGAAATCTCTAAACCCTAAGGTTATATTTATAGTGTAGTTTCCCCTCATGGATCACTCTGTCATTCGAATAAAAGAGCATGACGAGGCATAATATTTCCCTTTCTCTGTTTATATTAACATTTTGATTTGAAGAAGTAACAAGTTGGGTTACGTTTAGATTGTTTTCTGCCAGTGATGTATACAACTGTTTGTTTTTAAATGTGACTGATGTATTTGCTGAAAGGATGTCTAACATGCAGTCACTCTTGCATCAACACTGTACCTCACAGGGTCTGACAGACACAAAGATTGTTGGCAGCAGTTCACGCTATAGCCCCATGTCTGTCCTGCGGGCTCCCAGTCAAACTGACCTAACTCAAGCCTACTCCCAGCATTCCCTGCATCGCAGCGTCAGTCAGCTGATTGACAGGAAGTCACTGATGATGGACGAAGGATGTTGGGACAACCCAACGGGATATGATTCTGGACTGGTGAGGACTGACGTATGTTTCCTTGTTAAAGACAGAAAAATTCCCTCTGGAGATCCAGGTTCTACTTTAACTGAGTTATTTCTATAATCTAGTTTGATTTATTTTCATCTGCTAAGACTGTAGGTTTTGTAGCATACAAGGCCATTTCAAAATATTTATACAAATTTCCTTTTGTTTGTGGGAGATTTTTTGTGATTATTGCAAACAGCCATGCAATAGAAGGCAAGAAAACAATACAGGGTGTAATATTTAGTGTTAGTATAAGGTCTGAATTAATAACATCTTTTTATAAACTGCAGTTACATATCCTTTAAGGAAGGCATCGCCACAGCTGGATTCTGTCACCATATTTGACCATCTCTGTGGTGTGTTCAGGTTGACGCCAATGATAGTTTTCAGCCATCATAACTTTTAAATAAAGATCAAACAGGTTCATTTCATTTGGATCCTATTAGAGGATGTTTCCCCTACTTGACATTGTGAACATCAGCTTTGTGTAGCTTTCTTTTAGCTGCCGGTCCACTGTTAATGAGGAAAGACATATGTTGGTAGCTTTGCATTTGTACCATACACTCACCATTTTCATCTCCTTCTGAGGCCTTCACTAAACAGCAGTCTATATGCTTAAGTAAAAAAGTTACATCAGATCAGAGCTACGGGGGCTGAAAAACTCAATGTCTTTATGCGTCTAGGAGTTGGTTTGTCACATAAAACCATATGGCAGAACAGCCCTTGTTAGATGGTGCTTCTAAAACAGCATGGGTCTTTAAACAATCTCTGTTAGCCCATTGATGGATTGTTAGAATAGTAAAGGTGCACCCTGGCCTGTTACAAAGGAACCCTGAAATAAAATGAACCTGGTACAGAAAAAATGAATGTATGGATAAATAAAAATTATTCTATCCATAAGTTACTATGCTGCTCTCAAACAGTGACATACTTAATAATCTTTCTGCTGTAAATAGATTTGTGATCAGAGATTTTAGTAATGTACAGTGGTGTTCTGCAACACCTAGCAGCTGTAATCTAGGATAGAATATGTTGTCAGAAAGACTAAAACTGTAATAGTCATATGGTGATCTCCACTATAAGCTGCAGTTCAGTGGTGGACGACTTGATTTTTCAGTCTTGCTGACAACATTATGTCTGTTTGCTTTCTTTCAGTATGTGGAGGAAGATGAGCTTGTGGACGCCATCAAGGCCTTGACTTCTGTGAAAAAAGAGCACACCATGTTTACCGACACTCATCTTTAGGCTGGTAACGGTGAAATACTGGAGCTGATTAGTGTCCTGTCGTATTCCCACAATGTGTTTGACATGGAGTAGAGCAAAGCAACCTTCGCTTTAGTAGAATCAGGGACAAAACAGTGCTTAGACTTCACAGTTTGTAAATATCTGACTCAGATTCTGATCGATTTTCTCTGCTTGCCAACTATTTTTACAGCATTTAAATTCCCAGTAGGATCAAAATAATCCAGCAGTAGTTCTGGTCAGTAACTCCCAACCTTTTAACTGTGCCTATTACAATATTTTAATGGACAGAACTAGAGCTTTAATAGTAGATAGACACATGGTCTATATGCTGTTATTACTGAATGGATTTGCCAATTATTTAAATGTTTTTATTTTTATTAACTTTTCTTAAAACACGTTGCTGGAAATTGCAGATGTAATGTCTGTTTATTATAATGTGACCAAAAGGTCCAACCTGAGATTTTGTCCTACTGCATCTTTGTATATTTATTGCTTTTTTTGTGATTTTAAATGTAAAGCTAATGGCTGATAGTCAACTCAGATCTCTGTACTTGCTGTTAATGGTTACTGACTGTTGTTTCCATGGTTTACAGATTATATCACTGCTCTGTCGTTAAAGAACCTTCAGTTTCAATAAGAGAAAGGAAAACTCCTGTTTAGCGTCTTCTATAGAAGTAAAAAAACACACTGATTATATCTAGAATCCACACACTAGATGTAGAAGCTGTACATATTAGAGAGCTATGTTTACTTTCATTGTAATGTTGATGGGTTATAATGATTTTTGCATACAATATTAATAACTGCTGTTATGACCAACTTAAAAAAAAATGACAGTATTATTTATGGCTGTATTATCTGTTATTCAAAGATATGTTGTAGATCAGTAGATTGTGTATTTTGGGGTGAATAATTAAAAAAACATAAAAATCTATTTTTCCTTGTTTTCTTACCAAGAGGAAGCATGGTGACAGTCGTTATCCTGCTCACACAATTAAATATATGCTGGTTTAGTGTAAATAATGTTTTGAACTACCTATTGTCTTGCCAGATTTCCCTTGAAAATAAGCTTGTTAATCTCAGTGGTGAGTTTTCTTGTTTTTTTACATACATATATTGCATGGATTGTATTACAAGATGCAGAAAAAGATAGAAATGGACAGATAATTATACTTTAATCTTTCTTTATTACACTGTCAAGTGAAATGAAAGGATTTGAAAGCAGCAAGTCAACAACAGAGCACAGATGTACCAGACTGATGTTCACAGACAATAACAGAAGTCCTACAACAAAAGGTAAAACATCACTAGACAAATATAAATTCTTTATTTTCTTGAGGTGAATTTTGTCTTTTTATCAATATTTATTTAAACAGCATGAAATCAATTATTTGCACATAATAAAAAACATATTGGTGTCTAGTGGGATGAGGGAGTGAAATAGTAGGTTAAATTGAATAATCTTTTTGCACAATAATTTATTTATTCTAAACTTGTTTCACCACAAATGAAGCAGTATTATCTAAAATGTGTTTCTAGCCTGTTTTTGTGTTTTCTGCTGAGTTTGTACAACACAGATGTGCCAGCAGCTGTACGGCGCCTTAGTCACCTCACATACGCACGCCAACACCAGCGCAACTGTCTCCATCAAAACTATGCTGCCGTAATTTACTTTTGCTGCCGTGTCCCTTAAGGGGACATCTAAGCAAGTTTAAAATTAACAAACTGGCAGTAACAATCGAGGCCCCCCGCTCAAGGACGCCAATCTGACAAGGGCACTTCTGAAGCGTTCGCGGCCGCATTCACAGCTATTGTCAGTCACAGAGGGAGGGGAGAGGCTGTGAAAGGAAAGCTTGTGGAGTGATTGTAAGGGACAGTATGGCCCAGAGCTACACACACACACACACTTATAGGGGCTTTTATTAAACTCATAAATCACGACATGACGACAGACGCCATCTAAGAGACTGTCTGACGGGAAGGTTAGTGAAATCACAGAGCTGCAGAGGAAAAATGCACATCTTTTTTTTTTTTTGCACCAACATCTTTGCATCAACAAAGTGTCCAATCTGAGCAGACAACAAAACTCATGTCTAATTATTTCCTGCACTTTTCTTATTGCTAAGTTCAGCTTTAAATACATTAAAATCATCGCTAAAAATAGTCATGTTAAAGTTCCATTTTGCTTTTTTCAGTCAAGCAATTAAAACCTGCAACTTCTTGACATTTCTGGATGACTGAATATACTGTACAGTGTGTTACAGAATAAATATGAAATGCATTTTATAAGAAATAACACAGTTTTAAGACTGGGATGAACTAAACTTCAGGTAAGCATGGGCAGGCTAACGGTGTAGAGGTTTTAAAAGGTTGAATTCCATTCAGTTTATTTATATAGCGCCAATTCACAACACATGTCACCTCAAGTCACTTTACAGAGACAATTCAACCAGATCATAAAGTCAGATTGATTCAAAGTTTTCTATCCAAGGACCAATTGATTGCATCGACTCATTGACTCTTCAGCAATCCCCAACACCACGCATGCATGAAGTGACACTGGAGAGGAAAAACTCCCTTTTAACAGGAAGAAACCTGCATTAAAACCAGGCTCAGCGTGAGCAGCCATCTGCCGAGGGCAGTTGAAGGAGTTACAGATTAAAATCAGCAGAAAATTAAAAGTAAGCCACTCAACCAATAGATAAATGCTCCCACTGAGTCTGGCTCTGCTTTGAGGCCTCCATTCCTTTCCACTGTTGCCATATGCTTAACCTGATGGAGATGTTGATGCTTTAAGGTCAATCATAAAATCCAACTGACACAGTTCCCTAATAACATTTTTGATCGGATAGCAAAATGAAAAAATATTTTATTAACGAATGTTAAGTCTATATTGCCAGGATACAGAATGGTTAAATTGGCACTATATAAATAAATCCAATAGATTTAAAACTGTACAAACATAGCAGCATTTTTTATGTGAGCTAACATTATAGTAACTGTACTTAGTGTGTTAGATTAGCTTTGCAAAAGCAGACAAACTTTTATTTTAAAATAAAAGTTTATAGATATTAAGCATTTTTAGGACATTTTTTTTAACAAATGGAGAAACAGTAAAACTGATTAGCTACCAGGCTATCACACCAGCCCATGCCTACCATCAGGTTTTGGTAAGACCAATAATGCTCGCTTCATTAACAGGTTGTAGTGAACATTGCTGTATTTTAAACTGCAAAAGCACTCATTCAATGTCAACTATATGATCAGAAACCAGAAGTTACCTCGTATAGTAGCAAATCCTCAACTCAGTACATAAAACAATATCATTTGAAGAAGCTTAAATAAACAGATATATGCATTTTAGCTCATTAGAATCTGGCTAATATAATGTAAACATAGCCAGACAAAAGTTGATGGACAACAAACAGAAGATTCTGTAAACAAAAAACTAAACTCTAAAAACTCTAAAAATTTACTGTAATATTAGACTGTATAGTGCAAGATAAAACATACTTAGGTCCAATATGTCATTACATCAATATAGGCCTTTTATACATGTTAGTATAAACACACAATAAAACACAAGTGCATCCTTATAAGGATTTTGTTTTGAATATGCATGTCAGATTATAGTGTATTCTAACCTATGTATGTTTTTTTTTAGTAACAAATCTTAACTTAGCCACACACACAACTCTGGAAATGCATAAATCACAGGATCTATCTAAAGCCTTCGCAAAGCAGGATTCCCAGTGATTTTCCTTGTTATGGTTTAGTTAACTGTAATCCAGTCTGCTTTAAATTGTTCATAAATTCATTAAACCCCAAGTCAGAGTGGGCAGGTCCATTATGTTCCCACACAGTGATCTCCCTCTTCACAATCCTTTGGTCACTATAATTCTCTCTCAAACACAACAGGTAAATAAGGCACTACGACAGCCATCTGACACAGCGCGTATAAACACCTCTTTTTCAATTAGATTGAAGGAGTAGATGTGTAACACCTCTCATTAGGTATAAAAAAATGAAACTAATAAATGTTATTAGTGTTATTAAATGATCTTTCACAGGCACCTTGGGGGTGAATGTGGATAATCTCAAGCGGGAAAAAAGCACTTTTACTTATAAAGCATGAACTCAGATATGAGCCCTAAAAATAAGCACTGAAAAGCGGTTTACAACTAAATGCCTGCTTTCAAATAAACAGTACCTTGCAAAAGTATTCTTGTTATCCATGATCTTATTCATATTTGGTCACATTACAAGTAAAAACAAAAATATAATCCTAATTTTTTAAGAGTCTCTTACTGGTTTGTTGTGGATGGTTTAAATAGAGCTATGGTTGTATGTTTAGTGTCCTGCTGGTTGAAGTTCAACCTTCATGTCATTCTCTTGTCCTGTAGTTTAACTGACCAAGTTTTCTGTGCCTGCTAAAAAAAAAGCATCTGGCAGAACCATGATGCCCCAACTTTGTTTCACAGTGATGACGGTGTGTTATATCCAGCTTTTGTATTCTGTAATACGTAGTGTTTTGCATGTAGGCCAAAAATATAAATTAGAATTTACTCTGAAGCGAGTTCCCTCTTTCAAATGCTTGTTTTGTCTTCCAATCACTGTTTAAATAATAATAATAATAGCGCTAGCCTAGAAATGGATTGTCCTGACTAACAGGCGAACCTCTGCACCTAGCCTAAAGCCCCTTGGCCTCCACTTTGATTCATAAGCCTCATTTACACGCAACCTCACAGCTTGGATGAGTTAACCGCGCCGAGCTCGGTTCCTTATGACCGTTTACACAACAAGCTAGCATGGTTCATTGCCTCCTATTGACGATCTAAGGTACTACTGCTCTCTAGAGGGAAACAAGCAAATCAACATGGCGGCGCCTGTAACATTCAGGAAGTTTGGTTATCATTGTAATATTTCATTGTTTGCAGAGAGTCAGGCGAAGAAGGCAGCGTTTGGTGAAATTACTTGACAGAGTTGGCTTTTGGGAAGTGGATACGACAAACGTCTAATCGGGGCTTACAGATGCAGGAAACAACAACTGAGGTTGAGGTTCATCACACTGCTAAGTAATAGTATTTTTTTAAATGTCTTAATTTTCATGATTGTGGCGGCTGACTGTAAGGAGATCTGAGCAAAGTCTGCTCATGCACTCTTTGTTATCTGAGAACTGAGCCAGAACTGAACCAGGCCGAGCCCTACTGATGAACTACTACCAGTTTAGCGCGGTACGGTTGTGTCTGGCACGGTCCGGCTCAGTTTTGCGTGCCATTTACACTCAACAGTTATCTCGGTTATCGTGCTCGGACCGATCTCGGCACGGTTTCAAAAGGGTAGTGCAAATGGGGCTATATTCTACTATCCTGGCCTCCAATGTCTTGGTGGCGTTATGGTTTTGCAATACATTTTCAGATATAGGATGAAAAGTTGTCTGAGATGTCCAAAACTTGAATTATTGGTTTATAACCTAATTCCTAATCCTGTTGTTAAATTAACTCCTGCTGTATCGCTGAGCTGTCTGGTGAGGTCCTTGTTCCTTATTATGCTGTGTGCTAACAGTTGCATTTATACTGAGAGGAAATACGTGTGGACTCTATGTGATAATTATTTGAATTCTAAAAGTCCAAATAACTTTAAAGTAATGGTATCAGAGGAAAATGGGTTTTCATTGTGTGGCTATTTCACACAAAATATGAAAATCAACTACATTGAAGTATATGTGGAAAAACCTGAAGAATACTTTTGCAAGCCACTGTGTCACTAAACTGGAATTTCTGCATTAAAATGCACTTTTCATTTGTCCTAATGTTTACATAAAGTCAAGTTACATGAATGACCAAAAACGTTCTAGTTCCAAGTATATTCCACATATAAAATCATGATCATTTTTCAAAACCTTCATCTGAGTCTAAGTTTCTTTTCTGTTTCTTTGCTTCGCTGTTGCATGACACAACGAGCAGCTAAGCTTGTATTGCAAACCCGACCTGCACAATCTAACTGCTGCCCCTCAACTGTTGCTGAATGTAAAATATTCTGGGATTCAAGTAGCTGCCGACATTCTGAGGGTAAGTCGCATGAACATCCACTGCTCCATAGCTTTATAAGCCTTATTATTGTAATTATTGTGAGACAGGGCAAACTAGCGCAAGCTTTTTGGATTAAAAAAAACATTTCTATACATTTAATTTACTATAGATCAGGATTTTGAAAGGACATTTTTAGTTTCTTTTCAGGTATTTTTACTATATTGAATCTAATGCCTTTTTAAATTTTATTTCCTAGCCATCTACAATCCAAACTATGTTTTATTCTAACTCTCTGTTTCTAACACTGTGTAGTCTTGCTTCCCTCTTCCTGTACTAGGCCTACTGTATCTGTGACTGTGCGCTTCAGTTTGCACCTAAAACTATTTTTTGAGATCAACGCTCTTACAAGAAGAGAGAATAGAACTGAAATCTAACATTGTAGAAATTATCAACTGACTTAAAACACAAAAAGGAGCCTGAGGCAGAAAAAAACTCCAGTTATACCGCAGATCTAGGTAAAGAACACTACTGAAATGCATTCTTCCTCAGATGTTATGCTGTTTGTGCTGGAAAATTGTAGCTTCTTAATGAGCCACATCTGTAAATAAAAAAGTGATTTTCTTACATCTGATTGTGTGTTCTTCTTTAGCGTTGATGTTAAGCATTGACCTCCTACACTCACCTAAAGGTGAACCTGTAATCTGTAAAAAAAAAAAAAAGCTGCTTCTTTTACAGGATGCTGTCATGGCTGGAGGGATCAGCCGACGGCTTCCTCTGTCGCGGAGAGGTGGATGACGATAGTTTGGTGGGCGAAGGCGAGGCGTTTGCTGATGAGTCACTGCCACCTCCTTCAGATCCTGATGAGAGATATGGAATTGGAGGTGCCCTTTTCCGCCCTAGAAAGCCCCCCTCCAGTACTCCCCTTTTCCTCACAGCACCATCGACCTTCACTCCTTCTCCCCCTGATCCAACACCATCTCCTTCCTCTGGCTGAGGGTGCACCTTTTGCCTCATGTCCACCCCTGGGACTGGGCTGTCTGGGGGCTGCTGTGCTGATTCTTGACTCGATTCTGTTTTAGTCAGGGGGATGTTCCCAGGGTTTCGAGGAGCCCAGAGCTCCAGAACAGAGGTGCTCCTTTCACTGTCCTCGGATCCAAAGTTGGACAGGGAACGCCTGGCATCGGCGGTCTGGCTGGGTCCAGCGTTGGAAGTCTGACTCAGGCTAAAGTTTTGGAAATCTCTACAGAAGGACATACGGGGCTGTTAGAGAAGTGCCATGTTTTTATTTCTAAAAAAAAAAACAGGGTTTCTACCTCTTCCTGCTGTGTCCACAACTTACCATCTCCTCAATGACTGAACAAACTACTGCTACAACAATACATTGAAACGTCATTAAAAATTTTATTTATTTTAATAAATCCATTTAAAAAGTCAAACCTATATATAGATTCTATAACAATTACCAACTGAGTGACATATTTTAAACCTTTATGTCTTTTAATTTGGATGGTTTAAACTTAGAAATAATAGAGTCTAAAAATCCACTTTATAGAATAATTGTAATATTGAATATGACAAATATAAAAATATTTCAAAGACAAATGTTCTGTTTTGACCTTTATACTCATGAGCTAAACTACTGTAGTCCAGCAGACTGACACTCTCCACAATGAGTTATAATGCATAATCAAATAGTGATGTATAAGCAGCCATCTGTTCCTTCAGTGCTGCATACATTGGAAAAAATGAAGTATTAAAGCCACAGAGATTAGCCTAGCCTTGAGGGGATTGGAAAGCAATGCCTCCTCAAGAGTTTAAGGGAGCTTTTAAATGCACAGACAGAACATGAACTCCAACTGTGACTGTCCTTGTGCTAACTCTCATGAAGCAGAGAAGTTATCAGAAGCAGCTTAGCTCTGAAAAAAGTGTATTTCTTTCTCAGTGATCAAAAGTCCTCATTGGATTTTTTTTTTCTTCATTTCATCAGTAACAAAAGACCGCAATTCCTGAAGGAAGACTGGAAAGGCACAGAGTCAAAAGAGGTCTACCTAGAAATGTTACAGCACTTCATGCTGCCTTCTGCAGCAGGACTTAGCCTCTGCTAGAATGATTAATACTTGCTTTAATGAACATGTTATCATTGTCCTTCGTTGACCAAGAAATTGACCTCAGCTAAACACCTCAGATAATGGATATGAGGACAATAAGAGACAAACGTTCCTCTGTAGACAAACTGTGGGTCCACTATCAAAACAATTTTGGCTTTCTAATCTAATCTATCTCAGCAAGCGGATTCCCTTCATACCACATTGATGCAGTAATGCATGCAGAACCTTAAGAAGACTACATTGTGTGTCTTCATTAGCTTTAAACCATAATAATCTGATAAAGTAAATAAAAACTTAAATGCATCACTCTGTTAGTAATCATTCTATGCAGGGATTCCTTCTTTGAACTAAACTACTAAAAAAAAGCTTACATATTTTGTTGGAAATAAAATATATATTCCATAAAAGTGTTAATAGATCATAAACTTGTACTCGGCTTTACTGGCACACAATATATACAGAATTTAATTGTTTAGTGTTGATCAGTGTGTAATTTTTTCTACTGTTGATCATATTAACTTCCTAAAATTGTCTAAAAGTTGAACAATCTAGATCAGGAAAGTGCAACCCAAGTCCTGAAGAGTTACAACCCTACATCTTTTAGAAGGTCTCCATCTCAAACACACATAGACCCAATGAATGGCTCATTATCAGGCATCTGAGGAGCTTGTTGACTAAATACTCATGAATTCAGCACTTTGGTTTGGAGAAGAGATGCATCTGAAAGGATAGAAGCTCTTTAGGACTGCAGGCTGCACTTGATCTTTACTGTGTGATGTTTGCCTCACCTGTAGCTGTTAAAGGATTCGGTTCGACGAGCGCGTGCCAGCAGGGGGCTCTCTCTGTAGGGCCGTACAGCTCCATAGGTTGCCTGGCTTTCAGGAATCGGTTCCTGGGCCTGTAGCTGCAGACTGTGGTAGAGAGACACACGGGTGAGACCAAAGACATTGGCAAACACACTCTATAATGGGGTCATGGTGCCATTTTTCAAACCTTGACATGGACTCTCTGAGGCGCGTGTGGTGCATCACTGAGGGGGCGGGGCTTATATTAGGAGTTGCACAGCGAGAGGTACTTAGGTCGCACTGGTCCAGCAGCTGGAGCAGCTCCTCCTCTGTTGGGCCACCTACATCTGCTGTATAAAAGAAAATGATTTAGTGAATAAAAACTGTCTTCATGTCCTATAAAAAGAGAGCATCAATGTAATATTTCAGTTTTTCTCCTGCCACTTGACTATTTCCTCACCATCTTTTTTCCTCTCTTCTCCTTTGTTAACTGTGTCCATTGCAGTGGTAAGGTCCCACATTTGAATACTCCCATTTCCATGACCGGTGAACAGATAGCGCCGTGGTCGGGAGCCCATCCGGCTGGAACCTTCGCACTCTCTAACCATGAAGCAAGTGATAGTGGTTCCATCCACTGACTGCACCTCACAGATCCTTAAACATCCCATAGATTAAAAAAATGATCATTTAAAAGTGAACTTGTAAAAATGTAACCATAGCTTTGATTGTGCCAAGCAACTAGATGTATCTGGAGGAAAGGGTACCGTTTTCCAGTTGAAGAGAGCCTTACAAAGAGTTTGTTGGTGATGGGGATGACCTTCTGGATGAAAACCTGTTGATCATCTCTCTCTCCAAACGGGCCTGTAAACAGCAGACAATTCAGCTTCTATTTAACCTTTTAGGGAAAATGACCAAAGCTGTGTCTCCATAGTATAACGCTGCCACTACCATGTAGCGTCTATTAGTACTTTTCTATTGAAGTCAATCATTAAAAATCCAAAACTTTTAACGTGTTTTCCGGTACTTTGTTCACAAATAAATGCTTTTCCGTGTTTAATCGTTTTTCCAATCACTTTTTATCTCCGCTATGTTGTAAATGAACGAAAAGATTCAACAGGAACTATTATCTGGCTGTCATAAACCAATCCTCACCTATATCATTCCCAGAGCAGTAGCTTCCATGGCTCTCCGTCTCTTCCAGGGAAAGGATCTTAAAGGAGGCCAAAGGGGTGGAGCCTGGCTGTGTGGAGATCATCCCTCTGAACCGTGTCACCGTCCACGTTCGAACATGGTTGTTGTCCGCACACACTTGCATGCACACAACATAAAAACAGATTTTAAATACACAAGTAAGGAACCTTCAAACCCATTTTCATTAGGGGCTGCAGACTGAGTTTGTAAGAAGCCGGAGAGAGAATCCTTCAATACCTGATACCAGATGTTTCTCAGATAACATGATCTTTGTCACTGGGCTTCTGTGCACAGTGAATGTCTGAAAGAGCTGAGGCCCTGATCCCACTGTCTCTGGGTGCTGCACGATCACTCTCACTGCACCACTGCTCGTCCCGTAGGCTATCTCTATCCAGTTCCCACTCACACCTGAGAGCAGAGTTCAAGGAGGAACAACACACAAATGATACAGTAGAGTCTGTTACAAACCAATTTCTCCCTTTGAATTCCTAAATGCAGAAGATAAAATGTTTTATGTATTATTATTTAGTGATGTAGCATTAATCAAGAAAGTCTAGTGCAACAACGATCAAATGCAAACCTACTAAAACTTCTACAACATTTTCACATTTTGTCACAAGCACAATCGTTAATGTGTCTTTATTCGTACTGTGTGTGATGGACCAACACAGACACACAAGTGACAGGAAAAGTATACGTACGTCTTTAGCTTTTTTAACTATAAAATATCTAGTTAAAATGTGGCCTACATTTGTATTTAGCCGCCCCCGAGTCAATACCGTGTAAACCAGTTAGTCTCAATTAAAGAGGGAAATCTTTTTGCAGTGTTTCTTATTAGCTTTGGGCAACTGTTAAATTTCTTTTTTTTATTCAAAATAGCTTAAATTGTTCAGATTAGACTAAGAGGGTCTGTGCAAGTTCACACACTTATTTCAACTTGGATTTACATGTGTGCTTTGACTCGGCCATTCCACCAAATGCAAAAAAGAAAGGCCAGCCCACAGCATATTGCTGCCACTACCATGTGAACAGTGAGTTTAAGGTGTCAAATATAGAGCCTGATCTTCAAAGATATCAAATACAAGAGCACTGTGGGGAAAAATGCAAGTGTGATTATTAAAAAGAGCAAACTGCTATTGGCAGTTTGACGGTGGCTGTAAAAGAAAGATAAAGTTCTAATCCATTTAGTTGGAGGCTATAAGGATAATTACTTAAAGAATGAGAATATAACATATATATATAGAATGAATATATATCTCAAAGTGCTACAATTAAAAGTAAAAAAAAAAAAAATAAATAAAAGTTTTAATGTAAAAGATAAAGTATCTTAAAACATGGAACAGTGCTCTCATTGATCCTCATAATCACCTCATTCTGACAGAGAATTAGCCCCAGTCAGAATTACAGCAGATTATGCTCTAAACAGCTGGATTGAGCTCCAGCTCCTCAGAAAAAAATACAACAATATAATGCGAAACAAGGTATGCCCATGATAACTGTGCATCATATGGAGCCCAACTTTGCCACAACTTTGAGATGAATACAGAGGCTCTCTGGTGGCCAATGATTTTCCTTTATTGTTTAACATGCAACAATATTTAGATTCAGGCTACAGCTAATTATTATTTTTAGCAAATATTAACCTATTAATTATTTATTTCCATTTTATCTAAAAAGAATTTAGAAAAAGAAAAATGTTATTGTGTATTTTAAACCTTAATTGTAAAAGGGTTATTTTTTCTACAGTTATTTAGTCATTAGTACTTTAAGTAGGTTATTCATTTCTTTTGTTTTGAGTTTGTGCACCTTTACTTTAGGTAAGGATTCAGTGCGATAACCAAATGAGTTTATGGAAAATTTAATAATTGATTAATATTGACTAATCTAATTAACCCTTTCAGCACTAGTTCAGTCATGGGGTTTTTCGTTTTGGTTTAACTGCATATAGAAATGCTTTCCACTGCATTCATTTGGGCCAGGATGCACAGATGTTTTTACCTCTAATAATAATGTTCTACAATCTTTATTTCTGACATTCCAGCCATGTTGTACCCAGCATCTCTCTTTCATTTTTCCAATACCTGATTTGTGGCCACAATAAAACTTTTGTGTTTGAGTTTACACCTCTTTCAAACAAACTAAATCTAGATTAAGAAACTGCCCCCATATTGGCTTCTGTGTTTGATAAATATCTCTCTGAGCAGTATTTCCATTTGCATATAGTTTGCACCCATATATCTGTGCAGATTAGTCATTAGAATAAGATCTGCACATTTATGCAAGCACACATGCAAAAAGTGTTTTGCACATGCTGCCTGTTAAATTGCAAATTTAAAACATGCAAACCTTTTAAAAATCAGGCCTATGGTTTTCTTCCATGCAGCTCAATAAAAAAGCAAAGAGACCACCCTACAGATACCTGATTTGTATTTGCTATTTATACAGTACTTACTGGTTTTAGGCATGAGGTACACGGACAGTGCAGTAATGGCATCGTTTGAAGGGTCGTGATAAAGCTCGGTTACCAAGAGATCATTGTCCTTCATCCTCAGAGGAAACTTTTGCATGTCTGCAAAAAAGTCAAGATGTTAGGGAATATATTTAGAATTGATAATATTTAATAACCGATAAAAGTCCATCTAAAACATCTGGACAGATATATTTAGTGAATGTTCAATCTCTGAGTACTTTCAGTTAATTAGCTAAAAGTTAAGATTCATTCATCTATATCCTGTAACTGTATTCCACTAAGCTCCAATAAAACCGGTTAATTTGTGCGTATGTGTTTGTACCTATATAATAGATTGAGCCATTGGTGCAGCCCAGTAGAAGGAAGGACCCTGCTGTGTCACAGCTGGTGATGGGAACTACATCTTGAACCTGATAAAACATGAAAAGTTAATACTGTCCACAATATGGCTCACATAAAATGTACCATTTGAGCATTCATTGTATTGTGGCACAGCTACTGTGTGACATATCCCACCTGCCAGTGTTGTGTTACGGCGTTCCACACCCCAACCTTTCCTGTGTGGCTTGTTGCCACCAGCTGGCTCCCAATAAAGAAAAGGTCGTCAACAGGAACACCAAGACTGAATATACCTAAGACAGATTGAGAGGCTTTAGAGCGCATTATTTGTAGGATCAATGTGCATTTTCTGTCATTTCTAAATTCTATTATATCTGCTTGCATATATTTTTAACTTGTAAATTTAACCTATTTCATTTCCACTGCCTCCATCTTGGATGCTCCAGAGGATAATCCTGCTTCCAGAGGCGGCAGCCACCATCTTGTCCTTGTCTCCATGTGGACCTCCCACCACTTTAGCATTAAGTGCTACACGCTCAATGGTCCAATCAAGGTAGGGAGAGGAAAACACCTGCTGCCATCCTGAAGACTCCTTTATCCTGCAGCGAAAGCATGCACAAAAATAGTGTAAACTGTTTAAATAGAATCTTGGTATAAAAGTCTTTGTCCTGTTCCTGATGCATCATAATAATTAGGATGTATAAGCTAGTTTTGTTTTATCAACTTCATTTTAAGAATTCCAAAAAAGTAAAAAAAAAAAAAAAAATACACTGGACTTTGTTTCCAAGTTTGAAGATGTTTCGCTTCGCATTCAGGAAGCTTTTTCAATTCAAAATCTCAGAATTAGCGTTGATTCCGAGGCTTTACAGAGTAGACCAAAACAGAGCCTTGTTTTGGCTAAGAAAACATGCAAATTGAGCCAGAAGAACGGGTCTGCTCCTTAGGAATGGGAAGTCGTTTGGTTCTTTGTTAGCCTGCAATATCCGATACTGGTCTATGCATCTGAAAAAGGGGGGAATTGTTGGCCTGGCTAAACAGGCGAGATGTTCTGGTCCCCTGTATGTGGGTGGGGGTTGCAATGATAGTGGGAAGGAATCAACTCTATCGCTGCATTGCAGGTTTTTGACATCTGAAACCTGAGTCCACCACCTCTGTTTAAGGCTGGATTTTCTTTTTTATCATAAATGGCTTCCTCCACACCCCTTTCAAACCACCTGTCTTCTTTGTCCAAAATGTGAACATTCTGGTCCTCAAAAGAATGTCCTTTGTCCTTAAGGTGTAGATACCACCAAGACTTGTCCAGAGGAGGCCGCCCTTCTGTGTTGAGCCATGTGTCTGTAGAGAGGTTGCTTGGTTTCTCAAATATAAAAATCAGAGCATTCCTCACTGCACTGAACTGCATGCACCACTCCGCTCACGTTTGGTATGGGGGTTTTGTCCTTAGGATGCACTAGTCTCTGTTAAAGGGTCTTTTTTGGTTTGAAATGTGCTGGGATTTTGTGTACGCAGAAAATCCTCCTGAGTTTTTCAGAGACTCTAGCAACATATGGGATGGCAATGTTTTTGCATTTAATCTTCTCACCGTTATGTTCTGCTGCTTGCCTTTTGGATTTCCTTGCTGATTTGAAAAAAAAGCCCAGTTTGGGTATCCACAGGTTTGAAGAGCATCTTTGATGTGTTTCTGTTCTTTGTGCTTCCCTTCTGTTTTTGGAGTTTTCTATGTGATGTGGTGTGTTTTGCAACAAGGGGGCTAAAATATTAGTATTAAGAATAAATCTCATCCATAGATTTATTGACTCAGCAATATTTACCTTTATTTCTAGACAATCTGAAGAGTAATTTTTAATAATAAACAAAATTCAGTTTCTTTGGAAATATTAGTTTTACTTAGAATCAAAATAGTACACAAATCTACTGTTATGGCCGACTCATTTATGTGAAAGCCTGTTTTTATTCACCTCTATAGGCTGTTCAGGGTGCCGCTCAGAAGTATTTTGATGGAAGATTTAGTGGTAGGAAAAAGTGTGGTAGAAAAGCATCAGAGATAACCATTTGTTGAGAGGCAAAGGCTTTAAGGATGGATTGTAGGGCATGGACAGCAAATGAGTCTGAACTTTACAAACATCAAGACGAGATTTATATATTTTTTTAAAGGGCTGAATATGACGTGCCACAAATGTTACCTGTAGCAGATGACAAAGTGTGCATAAGCTGCGACAATCCAATTGTGGTGTCCTGCTATAATAACCACTTTCCTGGGGTCCACCATGGAGTCTGCAGACACAGACAGAATACTGTTGCTGTGAGTGTGTAAATGAGTGAATGACTGGCTGTAGTGAAAAGCACTTTGGAGTCACTTGCTTAAAAGGTTTCCATATAGGTACAGGCCTTTTACCATTTACTCTTTAAAGAAAATCACTATTCTCAGAGAGTCAGATATTGGGTCAATATGAAACTAGGCTGCTTCCATCAGTGCTGTTAAGCACAAAAAAGATATCGGGTCACATTAGCAGTAGCGCTACTGCACTCTCACAAGGAGGCACAAACAAACACAAGCATAACTCTATTATGCATGCATTAAGAGCACACATGTGGACAAACTGAAAAGCTGAGCATAATAACGGATACTTTAAAAGGCAGACACAAAACAGTCCCTGGCTGATATGGCAAAATAAAATGCATCACATTTGCCTGTAATGTTTTAAGCAAAAACAGAAATTGAAATGTATTTTCTCCCTCTTACCCAGTTTCTCGACGTCATCTGTTGCAGACAAAGAAGGATGAGGAAGGGGAACAACGCGAGTGAAGCCCTCCGCTCCACTCGGACCTGGTCGCTCATCAGAAGCTGGCTTACGAGGAGGAACAGCTGTGCAAAAATAAAATAAAATTCCACTTCTCTCTTATGCTATTCTGTGAACTTAAACTCAAGATTATTTCTGTGGTGCAGTCAACATTATCTCTATTTTCAGTTCATTCAGTGCCCAGTGTGGGTTTCATGTTTTTACCTGGGGGAGGCAGGTAACCATGGAAGAGAACGCTACCACATGACGATCGATCCAGTTCTTCGCACAGCAGCAGTCGCCGCACTGCACAGGTTTACACACAAACCCACATTACCACACGAAAACATTTGTTTTTTTAAATCAATGTCCAACTTGGACATTTTTGCTTTTTTTAGTTTAGAAAAAAATAGTCCATATTTCACTGTAGGTGCAAACCCTGTGCTTCCAGTTTTTATTTTATTGATGGAATGAGCTGGCTGTGCATTTCTTCTCTGTTTGATATGATTTAAAGGATATGACTGATTTTCAGAAAGGTCTGTGTCATGTGTTAACTTGGGGAAGTTCCAAAAACTGAAACGGGGATGTAAAACAGCATGTATGTGGAAGTAGTTGAATGTTATGGGTTTGACATCAATTTATGACATGACACAGTATATAGTGCTTTACTTTAGGAGGAAATCTATCAAGTCCTGTTGTAGTTTGGGCATTCCAAAAAAAATAATAACTTTAATATAGATACATACGTAAATGTATATATATGTTTATCTCTTGCCTAGTATTCATATCCCTTGAGCAAACAAATAACATGCATTTTCCTTACACTGAACAGTAATTAACCACTATGTGTTGGTCTAACACCTACAATTCCAATAAAATCAGTCTATTTCTACATACACAAGTTAATCTAATTGTGTCATTGCTTTCTGAATTTCCCTTCTGAAATTAGGACTATCAACACACCTAAAGGAGTGATTCCATAAAACTCCGCTTCGTGTCGCAGTACGCTGATATTGACGCCTCTGCAAAGATGAAAATAAACGTAAATAGTCCAAAAATAAACAACATTCTTAAAAATGTGGTAGTCAAGCATATCTAATAAAACAGATTTGGGACTTTTACCGCAGGTCCAGTTCTTTGGTTCGGAGAAAGTTGAGAATTGGTGCAAAGGCCGTAGGGTCTCTGTCAATAAATATCTGAAAGCCACAAAATCCAATAGATAAAGATTACAGAGCAATTAGAAATATAGATATTTATTAGAACTGCTCTTTACAGAATCCAGCCCATTGGTGTTAAGGAACATAACAAATAAAAAACAAAAAAAAACAAAAGCAAGAGACTACTTACAGCTCCAGTTTCATCCCGCAGAGTGGATATCCTCCCACTCAGTAAACTGGAATGAAAAAAAAAGAAACACAAACACTACTCAACTTCAACTAATCAAAAACTCAACAACTATAAACTGTTTATTACAACACCAAAACAACCAATCCTTACAATGCTCTGAATTCTAGATTGTTTTTTAATCTTTACTGAGTGTTTGTGTTTTACTTGGTATGAAAAACACTGAACTACAGACAGCTGGGAGCAGATAGTGAGTGACAGGCTGACATGTTTTAGCTGTCACTGAGCAGGCTTTTATAGCACTGCTCAGCTGTTGTAGGACTGTACTCAATGTAGTGTTTAATTTATAGCAAACATATCTAACTAGCTCAGATCTTTTTAACTGTTACCTCCATCTACACTTAAATCACTATAAAGCATTACAATAGAATAATTTAACTTGAATGAGGGGATTTAACGCAAATCATAAAAAAAAGGTTTTCATTAGGTCCACAAAACACAAAGTGCCATGTTTGACATTTTGGTATAGACTAATGTTATATCCCCTTAGAATCATCCAAATAATTTCCACTTAAGGCATTACCAAACTTGGTACAGACATGTGGAAAAGACTGGAGCATAAATTATCAATATTGCAGAAAAAGTGTCACAATTTATTGTGCTTTTATGTGATAGACTAAAGTAGTGCCTTCATATAGCAGCCCAGTCTAAATGAAAAACATGGTGGTGGCAGCATCATGCTGTGGAATTCCCTTTGATAGGGATAGTGAAGCTGATCAGAGTGTATAAAGAAGGCTGCAAAACAGAGGCTGGAATGACTCAGAATATAAGAGATGTTCATTTCTCTGCTTCATATAAAACCAGATCTACAGTGGAGTGATTATTATGAAAGCAGTTAATCTAAGAAAAAGAGCCCAAAATCATTAAAATTACCTTGAGAAGAAAGAGTCTGGGATCCATGTCAGAGTCTGTCTGGATGTGCTGAACCTTGTAATGATAAAGACCAACCAATAATTAAAGGCATCAGGCTTCTACAACATTAAGAATCAGATCTGGGTATTTGTGATTGAACATTTTATTCAATTAGACATTCTTTCTGTTGGTGGTTATTAAACTGCAAAATATGATTGAAATAAATAAGCAGAGTGTTGGCCTAGTGCTTAGAACAGTGCGCTTGTGCTCTGAGAAGGTTGCAAGTACCTGGTTGGATACCCACAGCCTTAACTCTGGGTCCCTGAGCAAGACCCTCAACCCCCGATTGCTCCCCAGGCGCTGCACAATGGCAGCCCACAGGGGCGGAGCTAGATGGGGGGTCATGGCCATACAGATGGTGGCAGCAGTAATACTCTCAGGTGGAATATTCAAAACATTTATATTTTTCATATATTAACAAGTTCAATCATACATAAATATTTTAATTAAAAATGTACTAAATAATCAATTTATTAATGGATTGACTTTATTGATCTCTAAGTGGAGATTACTTTATGTGGATATTAGTACTTGTAATTATCAATTTTATGCAGAGTGATTATTAATAAAAGTACGTAAGTAATGACAATGGAAAAGATGTTCACCCCAGAACTCATACCTGAAAGAATTTTATCCACTAGACTTTTTATCTAGGAAGTATGGATGTTTAAATACAGTGGAATCCGCTTATAGTGTACACGGATATAGTAATCAAATGCTGATATAGATCAAAACGCTTGTGACAGAACCATTTCTATACAAATGCTGTTTAAATAATTTGTTTACGGTAATCAAAAAATTTGCTTATAGAGTTCATTTATGGGCATTTTATGAATGTAAACGTGCAAAAATAACTAATAAGTGGATCGAAAGTGATGCCAGCACTCCGGTGTCAGAGCCCATGACAGATGAGGACATCATCGCGGAGGTACAGCTCTTTGGTGTGGGTACCAGTGCTGCACGCAGCGAGGAGGAGGATGAGGATGATGAGACTGTTGTCCCTTCCAGAGCTGACATAAGGAATGCAGTTTGCATTTTAAAACTGCTCTCCTCCATGTTGGTTTCAAAAACACTCTGGACAACACTCTGATCCAGGGTACCATGGATAAATATGTGAAGTGATTTCTTAATGTGGCGCAGCAGATCCGCAACACAAAACAGAGGTAGGCTTGCTTTAATTTGCTGAAGCCTATGCAGTTATCTTCTATGTAACTGTTTTTAACTTGTTCAAAAAAAAAAAAAAATGCACCGGCTGCACAAGGCAACCAGAGTTATGTCTGCACACAGCGCAGTATGCTGTAATTAAACTTGCATGGTACTGTAATAAAATTCAGTAAATGCGGAAGCTATCTGTTTCTTTTCATTTTTCTTATTGAAAAAAATCACACAAATGACATTTAGATGGTATTCAGCATAAAAAATAAGTGAAATAACAGTAAATTCAGATATAGTAATCAACCGCTTATAGTGTTCAAATTAGCTCTGAACCAACGTGATCACTATAAGCAGATTCCACTGTATATGTGTCTATTTGTTAGCAAAGGTTGTAGGAAAGTATAGTTTGTCTTTATTTAGAAAATATGGATGTTTTGCTCGTTAATTTTCCTGTTGAACAGTGTAGATTGACCCTGAGGTTCTGGCGCCTATTGGCCACCCTTATTAAAATGTTCTGGCTACGCCTCTGGCAGCCCACTGCTCCCCATAGGGATGGGTTAAATACAGAGGTAACATTTCTCCAATGTGAGATCAATAAGTATTTATTTTTAAAACATCACACTACATTAGAAAAAAGTACATTGTGTACAATTTAAATTATTCATATGTTTAGCAGTGGAAATGATGCTTTGATTACATAAGAATCCTGAAGATGTTCCAGGCAGAGCTAACGATTATAACAGCCAGCTGTCAGTGGAGCTTCACCTACCTTGTCCCACCGACATTCAACTGGATGATCTCTCCCATCCCCGGGGACGGGTTGTTACCGATCGTGGCCATGATGACCGAGTCAGAGCAGGGAGTGTTTTCAGGAAAATGTCACTAAGCTGGTCAACAAATGCTAGCTTGCTAACTCCCCTCTATCGATTCAGCTGATGCCCATACTCCCCCAGCCTCGCAGCTTCTCCTCGGAGCCACCATCCGTCAAAATATCCGTTAGCTTTCACAAACTGCGATAGCAGCACCGAAAACCCCCCTCATCGTGAATGCAGAAAGTCGGGCGTTTTTTGTTTTGTTTTTTGTTTGTTTTGTTTTTTCTTTTTTTTACAAATACAGCCCCATGAGGATCCCCGTATTTTTCAGCAAGCTTGTTTGCATCACCGCTTTGCGTGAAAATCAGCTTGCGCAGAATTTTAGCAACGTGAAACAGCTGGGACGCTCGCTCACCACAGAGCAAGATAGTTCCCCCCCTCAATAGCTTACCCGTTTCTTTTCAACATGTAAACATTAATTATGGTACATTGAATGACCATAAAAAATAAATTGTTGTACTTAATGTAGTTGCTCGGAATATTACACGGAAATAAAACTGCTGGGAACAAATCTGCGTGATCGCAGAAGCAATGACAGATTCTGAAAACGAATCACGTTCATCATGGAGGTGAACTATCTTTATTTTAAAACATGAATAAGATCTTTGGGGAAAATATAATTAACCCTTCTAAATAAACACGTGTAAAAAAAAGACTGTGACTCTCAATCCTATTAAATATACATATTGCTAAATTTTAAAATAAATCTTAAACTATTCTTTTTTATCTAACAGCTATCCCACATCATGCGAAAGAATGAGATAAAGTTATAGATACCCCTGTAATCGCTCGAGCTGTTTATTTTTGACTGATAATTTACTAAATGTTAGTATAACATGATTTTTTCCATCCGTCCTGTACTAACCCTGTTAAAATTATTACCCTTAGCCCCGAGCTAGTAAACAAATAGATGAACTGGTTTAAATAGACTTTAAAATGAGCAAACAAGTTTGGTATCTGCTATTTTAGACTCTGGATACACGTTGCACATAAGAAGCAATATTGTTCAGATGTTTCCATCGCACAGGGAGCAGCGGATAAACAAGGCTTCGGCTTGTTCTGCACTTGGAACGTGATGTACTGGAAGCTCAGCAGCAGGCTGCGTTTTCTCTGCGCAGCCTGGCGCGCCTCACGCCCCGCCCCGCCCACCCCGGATCACAGAAAGGGACTTGAGATGCTACATTTTTTTAAGGCGAACTAGCATTTCTGTTCTATACCTCTTTTTTACGTTTTTTGTCAACATGTAACTATAATGTATTTGTAGATGTTTTGTTTTTTGTTTTTTCCCCCGCTGTAATATTTTTAATATGTTACTTTTAAGCGGTTTATAGGCGAAACCAAGTAAATGATGTGGCTTTCACTAGCTTATTAGCCAGGGGAAAGTTAGCAAAGTAGTGGGTGGCTGAACTTTTAGCTAACTGTGTCATAAAGGTAAGCTAAACATTTTCATAGCTCTTTTAATGAATCAAAATGAGTAATATAAAGGAAAAGAACTCGATAACTTTAGTACATCATTTTAAAGTGATTTAATTCTTACATCTTAATCACCTGGATGGAGCATGTTTACGTTCAAACTACTCTGCTTTGTGTTCTTGTTAACAGCTTTTCCTCTCTGGGCGTTTCATCGAAGATTTAAATGACATTATATCCTTAATCAACTCAGTTAGAAAGCAGGGGATCTCCATCTCTTTATTTCCGGTCAGAATCAGGAATCTATAGAAACCAGGTCAGAATAAGGTTTGCTGTCATGTCAGAGGCAGAGGAGAAAGCTGATCCCGGTACTGATGCGAAGGCAGAGTTCACAGCAGGAAATCAGTCCCCGGGTACAACGCAGGCACAAGGCGGGACACCTGCAGCTGGGTCAGCGAAGCCTGCTGCCGCATCAGCGACCGAGGATGAGGATGAGAGCGAAGATGAGTGTGAGATCCTGGAGGAGAGTCCATGTGGCCGCTGGCAGAAACGTCGAGAAGAGGTGATCAACTGTCCTTCCCACTCACTCAGCACTTCAACATTACACAAACATTACCATTTATGTTTACACAAACATTGCTATTTATTTTTATCCACATTTCCTTCTCACTCATTTAGCAATGCTGAGATAGACTGAAAAAGTGATGCTATATTGTAGAAATTTACTCCCTTTTAATTGATTCATTTCAAATGGAAACGAGCTTCTATTTTTCTCAGTTTGATCATTAAGTTTTTACAATAGGAGTTTAGATTATTTACCTTCCTATATTAACTCTATAGGACACTCGGTGAAATCCTTTGAAAATCCACATTTCAAGTTATTGGAATCCAGAACAAGACCTTATTACCTTTGTAACATTTTGATGGCAAAAATAAGTGCTTCTATAAGAAATTCATGAAAAACAGAAATGTTTTTGGGTACAACATAACCTTAGAGGCATTAATGCTGATAGTGGCACTTATAGTTTTTTGTTTATAAACCTAAATATAATTGCTAACTAGGCTTATTAACTTTTTAGCTTTACTTTTTAACTTTTCCATTTAGTATTTTACCTTTTCTTTTACTTTTTAATTAGCTTTTTTCTTGACTTTTTAACCTTTTAATTAACTTTTTCCCTTTTTAACTTTTTCCCTTTTTTCAACTTAATTTGCGGTAGGTAATATATCATTCAAGTGTTCATCTAATTGGTCAAATGTTAAAATAAGATGCACAGCTATGTAGCATTATCTTTGCTGAATGGCTGGATATAGATCTTGTGCTTCTAGATCTCACTGAGAGACAGAGGGGACTCCATTTGTAAGGGGTATTCAAGTGATCAGAAATGGTAACTCGCACTATAAAGGGTTAATGACTATCAGTGTGAGTGTCACTAAATGTAAATATTAGCCTGCGGGATTATTCCTTGTTGAAAATGTCAGCCCTTATTTTGATTGATATGTCAAAGGCGTACCACCATGATCCGATCCAGCATTCTCATAACAGAGATGGACTGAAATCTGTGATGTCAGTGAGAGAAAATGCTGATTTTTTATTTTTTATTTTTTCAGAATATTGGCTGCATCATTAAAAAAAACAGTGATGAGTGTGTGTTTTTAAATTCTTCTGCTAATTTCTATCTCCTCAACACTTATTCTGAATAGTGCTTTTAATAATGTTGACCAAGCAATTTTGGATTGAAAATAACTTTGCTGTATTACTTTGAGGTTCCTGTTATCGGCTGATGTGTCTTTAAGCATCTTGTTTTCCACTGACTTAATTTTGGATACTTTAGTCATACTGAAAATAGCTTAGTCTTCTTTATTCAATACAGACTTCCACATTAAGACATATTATGGTCAGCAAAACACCTTTGAACCAATTTATGGTGGGCTCACCTGTGTGCAGAAAATATATTACTTTTTTTTTTTTTGTTTGCAGTCACTGGTTAGAGTCAGTAGAGTTTGTACTTGTCTTATTCCACTTAACAGTCCAGTCTTAAATCCGTTTTTGATATTGGATATTTTTTACCTGTACTTCTTTTACTTCCTTATAGCTGTGATGTAAGCTCCAATTCCATTGTATTGCACTTGTGTATAAATGTTTAATAACTGATTAATGATATATAAATAAATTGAAATGATTTGAGTCTCCAATATATGTAACAAACTGACAGATATGTACAAGTTTACCAAAGGAGTTTATCAATGCTTAAATTAGAGGATTTTCTGACATTTTTGAAAAGACCCGGCCTCTTCACGTAAAAAAAAAATGCAAATGGTCAGCAATGGTCAGCAATGCAGAACCCTGTACCTGCTCCCAAGTGGGAACACCTATTAAACATGTGTGAGAGCGTGCACAAGCCCAATTCCCTTTTTCACGCTTTTTTTTTTTTTTTTTTTTTTTTTTTTTTTTTTGCATCACTCATTCAAGCTTACTTTCCAAAAGAAGATTTGCAATTTTTCCACCTTCAGACTCGCCACCTTAATGAAAATTGGGGGTGAGCACGTAGGACGGCCGTATGTAAATGTATCATCAGAATGATTGACAAATAGGAGGATGACTTATTTTGATGATCCAACAGGGAAAAGAACATCCTGTATTATACCTTTAATGTGTCACTCTTGTGAACCTCTATAGATTCTCAGCTGTGCTGCATTAGAGATCCTTTATCTAACAGGTATTTTCTGGTCTCCTTAATCACAGGTCAATCAGCGTAACGTCCCCGGGATAGACGCTGCATATTTAGCGATGGACACAGAGGAGGGAGTGGAAGTAGTCTGGAATGAAGTCATGATTTCAGAAAGGAAAAACTTCAAACCTCTAGAGGTGAGACCCAGTGCTTCAGGTGGGAAGAAAATAAGTTAAATTAGGTCTATTTGATTGAGCATTGAAGATTTTAATGAAGAAAAAAAATTACTTCTATCCTGATTGATTTTTGAGGTACATATTCTTCATATCTTCAGGAGGGCAATGACCACTCTTCACATTATATTCATTTAATGAAGGGATTGAACAATTAATTATGATTAATCGATTGTTGAAATAGTTAATAGTCGACTAATTTTGTAACGGAATGGATAACTTGTGTACAAAAATTCTAAAAACATATATGCTGAGAGAATAGTATTGTTTTTTTTAGATCAAAACATTTGTTTGATGATGTCAATTTATTTATAAAATCTATGGATTAATTTATTACTAATATTATCAATAGCTGAGGTCCTAATTAAGTTACATTTTGATTTAATTTTAATTGTATTGCTTTGATCTGTAATCATCTTTATGCTGTTTTTGCTTTTTTGAAATATGGATCAGGAGAAAGTCAAGGCTGTATTTGATAACCTTATTCATTTGGAACATGCCAATATTGTCAAGTTTCACAAGTATTGGGCTGATACTAAGGACAACAGAGCAAGGGTGAGTCTTTCCTTATTTTAGACTCCTTCCCTTTTATTCAGTTAAATAGTACTCAAATGTTTACATGTAGATAACATCTGCCCATGTCTTATCTCTGCCAGGTGATTTTTATCACTGAATATATGTCATCTGGAAGCTTGAAGCAGTTTCTTAAGAAAACAAAGAAGAATCACAAAAGTATGAATGAAAAGGTATGGTGAACATCTGTTATTTTTTTTGTCTGTTCAAAAAATAATTCTGTACTTTATTGCTTTCTTGTATGTGTATGCCATGTGCGCAGTTTAGCTTATTTAGCTAATGCTAAACACAGCTACGTTGCCCTCTGATAAAACGCTTCTTGATCCTTCAGGCGTGGAAGAGATGGTGCACGCAGATCCTGTCTGCGCTCAGGTCAGGTTCCTTTAACTTAAGTTTACATACATTTATTTCCTTCTTAATGGTTTAAAGGATGCCAGTGAGAGCTTTCTGTTCAACGTTGAATTTATTTATTTATTCTCGCCATGTTTTACAGTTATCTCCACTCGTGTGATCCACCGATTATTCATGGGAACCTTACCTGTGACACAGTCTTCATTCAGCACAACGGGCTCATTAAGATTGGATCAGGTATAACATTACAGCAGTTTCATCCCAATGGCTTTGATAACGGAGCTTAAGCTTTGTTGGAGTTAAATTATACTGAATTATAAATAAAGGAACTCAAACGTTCAGTTCACTTTTATTAGCTAGTCACTACATTTCTGTAACTGGATGTAGGGATTCAAAAAAGGTCATATTTTCCCTTTTTGTTTTTATTTTATGAGAGATATGGTTGTTAATGCACCACTACAATGATATTTTTCTTTTAGACATTCCTGTCTGTTAAACAATATCTTCTGTATTTTCTCCTCCTGCTGTATTTGATAATCAAACAATTATATTAAGCTTTAACTACATTATGATCTGTTTAGTTTTTTCTATGAGTGAATTACTGAGGTCAAATCTGTGTGTGTTTGGCTTTAGGGAGATAAAATATTAACAAGTTCAATAATTATTTTTTCAAACTCTCTTTCTAAATCTCATGCATTTCTCTAACCCTTTCATGCTGAAGTTAAAAAATAAGGAACCTTTTCATTTTTGCAGTTGCTCCAGACACCATTAACAACCACGTGAAGACGTTCCACGAAGAGCAGAAGAACTTGCACTTTCTTGCCCCTGAATATGGAGGTAAAAGCCACCAAATTAAGAATTCTCTGTTTTTCTTTTTACATCGTGAGACATGTTGAAGTTTTTAAAAGGAGTCTAAAAGATAATGATGGGTAGAAATAATTTTCAAAGTCTGTTCTGAGAGCTGAACCGTGATGAGGTTGCTTTTGATTGTTTCTGCTACTGTAGCTGATAACGACGTGACCACGGCTGTAGACATCTACTCATTTGGCATGTGTGCATTAGAGGTGAGAGAGCTAATATAATGCATCATATATATATTTGCCTGAGCTATTTTTCCCTGCAATCTAATCATATGCTGCTGTGCTGCAGATGGCGCTTTTGGAAATTCAAAGAAATGGAGACTCCTCCTACATTTCTCAGGAAGCCATCGACAATGCTATACAGTTACTGGAAGACCCGCTCCAGAGGGTAAGATGCAGAGTTTTAATGTTCATTAAATTATCTATACGTCAACAGTTTTGGGATCCGTTTGTAAAATTCAGTTTTCACAAGCGGTGTTTGTTATTCAGTGCATTATCTATTTATTTTTTTAGGAGTTAATCCAAAAGTGCCTTTCGTGTGATCCCAGTATAAGGCCTACAGCCCGGGAGCTGCTGTTTAACCAAGCTCTCTTTGAAGTGCCTTTATTAAAGCTGTTGGCCGCACACTGCATCGTCGGCTACCAACGTGAGTCCTAAATACACACACGTATAAACATACACAGAAAACTATCTATGCTTTTATTAAACTAGAGAAGAAACATGATGAGGATTTTAGGTTTGACTTTAACAGGATCTTGGTGGAAAACTAGGGGACTTTCTCTTAAACTGGGTCTTCTCAACAGCTTTACTCATTGATGCTTAATTTATGAAAGTTTTTGATTAAATCACTCCATTGTGGATTTCATAGAAATCTCTGCTGCCATCTCCTTTTTAAAAAATTAAGGCTTTTTTACATTTGACCAGGTGTTGCAGGATTATTGTCTGCTAATACAAAGAGACATCTACTGCATTCAGACTGCTACTGGACTTTCTATCGTAACAAATGTTGCAAATTTCTCTTTTTTTTTTTGTCCAGACATGATTCCTGAGAATGCCCTGGAGGAGATTACCAAGAAGCTGGATCCCAATCTGGTTATTGCTGTGACTAAAGAGGATGTTCAGCTCAAGTAAGGTTCAAAAACTGCCATTCGGGCTCAGATGAGGCTCTGCATCCTTTTACAGAGAGCAAAGTTTAGACTCTTACCTGTTCAGTTGCAGTGATGAACAACTTCCGGTTGGGTTGGCTGTACTTGTAGAGGGTTGATTCTTAACAAATGTTTTCTGATGGTTATTTTAGTATTTTTCATTAAATATGTTCAGTAAAATAAGTTTTTAAAAGCAGTGACAACAAGTTGGTTCAGTGTTACCAGAATTAAAAAGATTGTGCAACCTGTTGGGCATCCTAGTTCTGTCATTACATTTGGTCTAAGGAAAAAAGGGTATTACATTGTGTTTTAAATATGATAGAAGGCCCTAAACATTTCCTTTAAATTGTATTTATTTATTTATTTATTTTTTTGTTTAGGTTGTCTCAGTTTCCTGCCTTAGAGCTTGATAAATTCCTGGAGGACGTGAGGTGAGAAGCAAAAAATGTATATAACAGAAATCAGTGGATTTCAAACGTTTAGCTACAGTAAAAGGTTATTATGGGTAAGTTCCTTTTTAAGGTGATTATATGACCTTTGCTGTCTGACCACATGGAAGCAGCATTGAGCCATCCTACACACTTGGTGTTAGCATTGGTTTTTCTAGTGATGAAATTATATTTATTTTATTATCGGCCTCCAAAGGTTTAATCCTAGTCTTTATTTGGGACCTCTGTTTTATGAATTTAATCTATTTTCTCTAATAAATGACCTCTTTCTATCATGTGCTCCCCAAATCTCAGGAACGGCATTTATCCCATGACAGCCTTCGGGGTACCCAGTCCCCAGCAGACTCGACTCAAAGCAGTCACATCTCCTGTTGTCATTCCTTTGGTCAAAACTCCCACACCTGAACCGGCAGAACTTGAGACACGACGGGTGAGTTCAGTTTATTACTGCATCCTAGATGCCATGATGCAGTCCTTGTAAATCAACAGGTTTGACAAGCTTTATGTTTTTACCTCTTTTCAGTTACTTGTTTTCTTCTGCAGGTTATTCAGATGCAGTGTAACTTGGAATCTGTTGAGGAGGGAGCAAAGTATCATGTAAGTGTGTGTTTCAGAGAAAAGCTGTACTTTTTGTGGAACACATTTCTTAACTTAAAACCTGGTTTTCTGTCATTAAGTCAAAATGTTTATCTGTTTTCTGCTTCTCTCCTCTTAGCTCACATTACTGCTGAAACTGGAAGATAAACTAAACAGACATCTAAGCTGTGACATGTTACCTCGTAAGATCACACTCATTGTGTATCACCTGCTAATACATCTATATTGCCTTCCAGCTGTTTTAGATTTTCTGTTTTAGATCAATGTTCTGAGCACAAAAAGCACAAGAATGGGATGTAAAAAAAGAAATGACAGAGTAAAATCTAAAAAATTTAGCTGCACAATATTTAGCTATGCTTAAAGTAGGAACACTGATATAGTTGACAAATATTAACCAAATATTTGAGTTATGTCTTTAAATTGTTGCTCGTGTTTTTAAAGACTTAACAATCAGTATGACCTTTAAAATCAGACACAATGTTTGATGCTTTTATTTTTGTGGTTCCCACAATGGTTTGAACTTCAAAACTGCTGGCTTAAAAAATTAATCCAAATCAATCAAAGTATTTTATGTTTTGGCACATTAGAACTCCATACATATATATTTTATCATGACTTTTAAAGGAATTGACAGCCAGAAAATAGTGTATAATTAGAATGAAAAGGAAAAATAATTTATTATTTAACAAAAAGTAAAATGAAAACCATAGGAGATATAAGAAATCATGTTAATAGCTTATGCTCTGAGAAGGTTGCAGGTACCCGGTTCGAATCCCACTGCCTCCACTCTGGGTTGCTGAGCAAAACCCTTAAGCCCAGATTGTTCTTCAAGTGCCACACAATGGCAGCCCACTGCTCCCCAAGGGGATCGGTTAAATGCAGAGGTAAACTTCTCCAATGAGAGATCAATAAAGTTTAAGTATTATTTTTCTACAAACCCTGTTGGGCACAGGGCCTCCATGTGGAAGAAGATGCTCTGGTCAAAATGTCACTTGTTGGCCTACTTGCAAAACATATGTGCTCCAAATAAATGACCCCCACTAAAACAGGGTGGTGGCTGCATCAAGCTGTGGAAAAACCGCAGCTTCAGAGGACATGACTGATGATAAAAGCACAACAGTTTTCTGTGCTAATGATTTGGAAAAAAAACCTTTTTTTAGGCTGCAAAACACGTGACACGGTTGATGTCTCAGTGTCGTACTTGTGAAAATTCTGATTGACTTTAAGGTGTCATTTTCTGTAGACTGGGGAAAATGTTGCAGTCTCTATACGCAAAGGTGCTTTAATTATACTCTAAAATCACTCAGGGCTATCACTATATCAAAAGATTGTTTCTACAAGGTATTGACTCAAAGGTTTTGGTGCTTTTCCTGTAAAAATGATCATTTTCTTCAGTTATATAATAATTATAGTTTACATCGTGATGGTCCGTCACAATGAAATCCCAGTAAATCGGTGCTTTTTTGCGGTTGCAGTGGGATAAGATCTTGAATGTTAAAGCAGTATAACAACTGTAGAAATAATAACTGTCCTCAAGTAAACAAGCAAGATTTCTGCTGGAGAATTAAAGTGGTGATTAAAATGTCTGCTGCCAACAAGCTATTTAACCTTAGGTCATGTGTTAATACACCACTCATTCTTTAAATAATCATGTCGGAATATAGATACTGCTGTTGCAGAAAAGGTCAGCTTCACAAAGGTCAAGTCAGCAGATTCTTGAAATGACTATAGATAGGCTAAGGACTTTCCAACATCAGTTATAAGAGTGACAACCCAAGATTGAAAAGGAAGAAAAATAAATGAAAGGCAATACAATATTAAGCTTCTCTATTTTTATATTTCCTTCATGAACAATGTGAAGGAGAACTCCAGGTATAGGTGATTGGCATAAAAAGCTCCAGGTTTTCTTCTCTTTTTTTTTTTTTCTTTATCTTTTACACCAGTAAACTAAGTGTTGGGATAAACCATGTATTTCTAGATTCAGATTTCTTTTTTTTTAACGCTCTGCCCCTGAAGTTCACATCTTGTGTGTAAATAATTACGATGAATGCCACAACATAATGTCATCCAACTGGACAGAAAGTGTTGGCCGTAAAATCTGGTGCCTGTCATGCACTCAGAGGTATGGTCGGCATGTAAAATGTTGCAGACGTGTGGAGAATGTGACGGGCTCCAGCTGACAGCTGTCACCTCCTCTGCTCATCTCTCACTAGGCCTTCACGACTGTCTCTCATTAATGCTCGCTACGTCCAGTCATTTGCCGTTGTCGCTCCTGCTTCTCAATTCACACGTCTGTCCCTGCACTCTCACTCCCTAGTTCCACTGACATACATGTTGTAATTGTATATGTCTTGCAGTCCTGCACATGCTGAAAGCCTCCCTTGTCTGCCAAAAGTCCAAAGTGTCACTGCTTGGTCACCAGATAACTGATCCAATCCAGTTTCACCCCCTGGTTTAGTTTAATAGCTCTTTTACTTTTACTTCCATGCATTTGCAGTTCAGGATTAATCATTGCATTTAAACCTTTAAAAATTAGAGATACATACTTATTCTTTTATTTATTTATCTTTATTAGTTTTTTAATGCACATAAGGGCACCCTTGACATTGTAATGAAAGAATCCATATCAATGTGCTCTGAATAACTGCGACATATTATATTGTTAGTGTTAAAATGCATGTTGCTGCTTCATAAATATGAAGGTTTGATATTAATATCTTGGTTAGGCCACGATTCTCCTTTGACTTAATGCAAATTGGGCATAAAACGGAGCTTACTTGAGTCATCTATTGTGAAATATAGAAAATAAAAACCCTAAATTAAAGGTCATTAAAGAATTTGCATCAGAAATGTTTACGAATTTTGCACTATTATAGTATTGATATAATATTTGCCCATCTGGAACAGTTTTGTGTATGGTTTTATTTAAAGACATCATTTTTATTTTAGCTATAAGTTTTGTTCCTCTAAGTTTTCTTTATCATTTTGTCAGGGAAACTATTGTAGCTGATAGGCATAATATAGTTTATTTAAAACCTGTGACTCATTAAAACAGTGCAATGATTTCTAGGCTTAAAAATGAATTAATATCAACATTTTATAAACAGAACCAGATTTCCTGGTATAATGAAAATAATTTAAAATCTACCAGAGGTATAAATACTCTGGAAACTTACTGTATATGAGTGCTATGTGTCAAAATATTGATATGTTGGAACGTTGCAGTTTGTCCTCAGTAGATAAAACCTCATTAAAGTTGTTTTGATTAATCTTTAAAGTGTAATTATTAGTTTAAAATGTTTTTGGAGACTGAGACCACATTATGAGGCAGTAGCTACTGTAGATCATCACATTAAACTTTGCTTACATGATTGTCACTAATTGTTTCAGATGAAAGTGTTCAAGATTTGGCTGAAGAGTTGGTGCAGCTGGGCCTGATCTGTGAGGTGGGTGTTTTTAGCTTAACTCAGGCTTGTTTTGGTTGTGGGACTCTGCAGTTAGATCTGCTGTTCCTTTGCTGCAGTGCAGGCATCCCCAAGAGTAGGTCCTCGAGGGCCGCTGTCCTGCAGGTTTTAGAGGATTCTCTGTTTTAGCACAGCTGATTCTGATGATTGCAGTTCAGCAAAAGCCTGTTGACCAACTATCAATGTCAATCAGCTGTACTGGAGCAGGGAAACCTCTAAAACCTGCAGGACAGCGGCTCTCGAGGACCTACTCTTGGGGATGCCTGCTGTAGTGTAATCCGAACCAACCTCATTGTACAGAAGAAAATCATTGCATACTGCAGTAACAAATTATTGTGATGGCGAAATACTGAAGTAGTTTTACTAGATTCAATTCTACACATATTTTATGTCTTTTAAGGAGACTGTAGCTTGTTTCCTGTAGCTTCTTTGTCTCTGTTTAATTAAGCCTTTCCTCTCCACAGGTGGACCAAATAAAAATCTCCTCACTGCTTGAAGAGACATTTAGCCAAGCTCTTCAGTAGCACATATCACCAGGAGAACATTTTCAGCCTTGTTACTTGCTCCTCGTGGATGCACGGCATTGATTATCATAAAAAAATAAAAATAAAACTTTTAAAAGCACAAAACATCCAGCGTAACCCCAGATGACCCCAAAGAAACCAGCAGCTGTGAACTTTTCTGTTTTGCTACAGGCTAAGTAATAATTGCTCGGCGAGTTTATCCCCAGCCTGGAAAACCTTTAAACCATTGCTTTCTTCAAGTGTGCTTTGTTTACATGAGGAGCTGCCTTGTTTGTTTGTTTGTTTCCAGGAGTTTGTCTAAAGCACCTTGGAGATCTGATGGTCTCCTACTCCAACCTGCTGGTGTTGTCCCTTTGTTTTAATGGCAGCACCTGGACTCACTGACAATCAGCAAAACTGTAGTTTCCCTAGAGACTAGTATTCCCTTTCCATGCACAAAAGAATGAGCCATGCTGCTCGTTTCCATTTCATTTTATTCGGTTCTCATTGTGTTTTTTTCTCAGTGTTTATGCCTTTCTTTTGGATCATTCTGTGCTTTTTTTTTCTGATAAAGCAATTTCCTTTTAAGTTATCCATGTGGACACTTTGGTTATCCGGATGGCAGACATGCAGCTTCTGTAGGTGACTTTATCAGAAAATATTCATAATATAAAAAGCCTTTATGAAATGAGAGAAGTTGGTGCATTATGGTATTTACTTTTTAAAAAATGCATAACTTGCTTTGAGGTACTGTGAATTTGGTGTCTTTAAATTTCTGTTTGTTTTTATATTTATGTTTTTTTCAGCCTGTCTAAATGCTTCAAGGTTCTTTTTTTATTATTCATATATATATTTTTGTTACTTCTGTTTACAGTTGCTGCTGTCTAAGTGGACCAGTTAGTTTTCCCTTTCTCAGCTGAAAAATTGTGTAGTGAACCATGGTGTAATAATTTGTTACAGAAAGGTCTTTGCTCCATTGCTGTGTTTTATAAGAAAAACAGGTACTTTATTTCAATTGGTGTTTCCATATTTTCCTTTTACATACAGCTGCCCTGTTGTGGGTCTGAGCCAACAAAATACTTTAGTTTTTAATTAGGTACAACTAAAAGCTGACGTACTATAGGTCATAGGTAGACTGACATTTATACTGGCCTTTTTGAGTAAATCAGGGTTTCTTTTTCTTAAAGGTCAAAAATGTCTAAAAACTAAGCATATAGCAAGACTACAAAGAATTACTGGTATTTTTGTTGAACTTTGTTCCATAATTTGATCCCTTTTATATCCTCCTCTTAACATTTTCATGAACTCTTTAATTAAGAGTTTTATTTATCAAGCCGATAAATAAAGGTCGAGCTCCACTAGGTCCTGTTTCACATTTATTCCACGTACTGTCTGCTCTATGCTTTATGTTGTCAGTCTTGGTGCATTACTTGTCAATGTCTTTTTTTATTATTATCTTCTATCATTGTGAACTTCTAAGATTGTATTTTCCCAAAAGTTGCCCGAGTCAACCAGGAGAATGTAAATGGGCCACCTCAGAGCACAGAAGTGGTTCAGAATTCAGTCTATATTGACTGTCTGCTACCTGTCTTAACTGTAATTCTTTTTCACCCCATTCATTAGCGGTGATTAAACTGGTTATTAGATAATCAAACATTTTTTGCAGCTTTAGTCTGTTACTCCATGATGTGAGCTTTTGCTTATATGTAGGTATTTTAAAGGATTGTATATGACACAGATGTCAGTAAACGTGTGCCTTTTTGATGCTTATATTCTGTCATAATTGTAGAAAAAAACTTCATTAATAAAGATGAGATCAATGTTCTTCCCTCGTTAACCTTATTTAGTCTTCCTAGACAGAAAAATCTAACAATAATACTACACGTTCTTGCATAAACCATGTTACGCTAATCTACATGTTGCAAAATGCCAATACCTTGGATACAGTCATTGTCAGTCACATCCATTGTTGGGATATATATATTTTATTAGTGTTTGTATATTCTGTTAGGTTAATTGGCTTCTCTAAATTCTCCTTAGGTGTGAGTGTGTGCGTGAATCGTTGTTTGTCTCTGTGTTGCCCTGCGATGGACTGGCAACCTGTCCAGGGTGGACCCTGCCTCTTGCCATAGACAGCTGGAGGTAGGCACCAGAGATATATATATATATACACACACACACATTTACCTTAAAGCAGAAGAAAATATATCAAACCAACTCATTTTTTTTTTCTTGGCACATTTAATGGCCCACTTTAGTATTGAGCTACTTTCTGGCTGAGTGATTGATTTAACGAGTCATTTACATATTTATGCAGTTATTTTTAATTATGGCACGGTTACTGTGGTCTTTCATATAGATGGGCCTTTTCCTTTCCCAAAACCTGACTGAAAACTGAACCTTGAACATGGCGGAGTTTCATCTCTGTGTCCTTTACTACCTTGTAAATCTGAAATCTCCCTGAGGCCAAAACCAAGTGGAGTGCATGAAAAATGAAGGCATATACAGCTGAGGGAAGGAAATGACTTTTATCAAGTCATACAGGGAAACAGAATAAAGCAAGTTTCTAGATTTTCTATAACATAAGTCAAAATGCATGTTCCTCTGTTAAAAAAAAAAAAAAGTTACATTCCTCTAGGGGACCTTGATCCCCTAATAAAATGTTATATTTCTTGTATCCAAAAAGAGGTAGTGTGCCACTCGGCAACCGCCATGTAGCCCATGTGAGAAGCTATTGATGTCTCGGGTTCAGGAGTGGCTTAATACAAAAATATGCAGAAATTACAGCCCTTATCCTCGATCCATCTGTGTATGATGGCTCCTTAAGAATTGACTCCAGCTATGATCTATTTCTTGCAAATCTGCCTCAGTCATTAAAATGACCTTAGAGCCATCTAAAAGCTGCAGTGATCTCAGTTCCTTAAACAACTTTCTCTGTTTTTTTTCCCCTCTTTAACTAAGCCTTCCTTTAATTTGTCTGTGTACAGTCAGCTTCTATAGCGATTACTTTTTAGTTTCTACCCAGTGGATGTTTCAGTTTAAAAAAGTCACTCCCACATCAATCAATGTATCCAAATTTAGTAAGAAATTGAATTAAGCCATAATTAGCTAAAATATATGGGGGGCGGGGCGATCTGAAAAGGTTTTTTATATTTAATAAATTTCAATAATTTAATTATTGTTATTATTATTATTATTTTTTAGACAAAGTAAGTACCAACAAGTAAGGCAATGTGGAAGGCATAGTAGAGGCAGATTTCAAAAATGAAAGTACAAGGCATTATTGATAAAGAACAAAAAAATAAAAGGACGGCTGATAATTAAATATTAAATAATTATTTTATTCTTATTATGTACATCGGTGGGCAAACCCATCAGTATTTCAGCCAGGTATTATTATTAATAGGGTGTTTTTTGTCTTTTCTAAAAAAAAAAAAAATTCAATCCAAAAACTTAATGAAAAAGTGCAAAATAAAAAAAAATGAAAAAAAATATCGCAAGATATAGAACAGTATCTCCAAAATAAGTATTCAATGATGGAGTACAATTAGAATTTAGATATAACATACTTTAACTTAAATAGATAACGGAAGAGATTAAAAAAAAAAAGGCAAGATATATAACATTTCTCCAAATATTTACTGAATTACCTTAACCGTGTGTATACATTTTTTATTGTTGATTCTTTGGATACAATTGAAGTAATTTTTTAATCATTTTCAAACACAGGGTAGAAGGGTCGACCTTTGGAAAATTTGGTTTTATGTATGTGGAATTATGCAATTATAATTATGAAGTTAACCAAGAGTTGCATTTTCCTATCATTAAATGATTTCCTAAATTCTTGTAACGTAAAGTGCGTGCAGTACGCAATAATGTACGTCACAGGTAATTCACAGGTAAATCCTAGCGCGTCATCCAGGAAGTGGACAGACGGACGTCCGCACGGGACGGAGCGACTAAAGAAGCTTTTGTTTTTGAAAAGTTACTGTGGAAAAGGGTAAAACAACACCATAAAGGGAAAAAAAACGTTTCCAGCCAGCCAGCAGAGGATGTGCACCTTCGGTGAGTGCGTGTTTCCATGTTTTAATGTATGTAATTAATAAAAGCAACGTGTTTTCAAAGGCCGGTCAATGGCTGCAGGTCCTCTGAGTTTTACGTGCAGTGGCCTACAGGATCTGAGCCAGTTTATTAAATGTCTGCATCATTTGTTGTTTAAACAAAATGAATCCTACATACAATACAAGTTGCAGATAATGCAGACCCTTTATGTGCTGATTATAAACCTGTCAAATAATGGTAATAAAACAGGTAAAGGAATATATTCATGTTAAACGTGAAGTTTTAATAAACTATTACAATTATGCGATTTACATTGTTTCTGTAATTCAGTAGCTATAGAGTGGAAACAGAAATGACCCCTGGTAGATTTAAATGTAAAGGATTTTATTTTCTCCAATCCTGCAGCTCCAATAGCCAAAGTTCTTCATAACTTTGGCTAAAAATGATAAAGACTGGAATAATAGTTTTATATAAGAAACAGGATTTTAAAAATGAAGATTTTTTAATGTCATTAATGTATTGAATTTTCAAGAAGAATGACAATTAACTTATTTTTTATCCTTTTGTTTCATTAGGTTAAAAAAATTGGGATTTCTTTTGTTCAAGTTTAGTTTTTTTCTTTATTTTTAAACCTAAGATTTAAATTAATTTATGTTTCTTCAAACATTATTATAAATCTCCTGTCTTAGTAATAATCAAATAATCAAAAAGGTCATTTAACAGCTGCAGCTCTAAACAAGGTTTTAGCTGGACTGAATGCAAAAAAAGCTCTTTGTAATGAAAATGCTGCAGACCCCTGGTCCAGAAGTAATTAGGTCCCATTCAGAATTCTGCATTGAGTCTAATGGGAGCTGCAGATTAGGGGGATGGCAAGGAACTTTCCAACTTGAAAGAGTCAAATAGAGAAATATAGCAGTAGAAACATGCAAAAACTGGTCTGTTATTACATAAAGGCTTTGATTGATTATATTGTGAATAGGGCTAAACAATGAATCGGAATAAATGTCATTTATCGATTATTGTTAAAATCCATTGATCGTTAACTGGAGTTTAGAGACTCTAAAATATGCGTTTAGGTGACAGATCAACCAACCCTTGAGCAACAATTAAACCAAAATTGTAAGAAAAAGATATAAACATTTTGCATTTAAGATAAGAAACCTATTCGTCTGTCAATATGCTCTATCCAAAACTCCTCAAGTGGAATTGTTTTAGTTTAATTTCGTAAAAACTCTTCTTTACGGAACCTTTTGCAATCTGATTATTAATCGATTAATTAGAAAGAATAATCAACAGATTAATCTATTTGCAAAATAATAATTAGTTGCAGACCTAACTGTAAAACAAATCTGATATTATTGAAATGGATTAGTTTTTAATATGCTATTTAATAAAAAAACTGTCCTTCTATAAATTAGTGTTTTCTTTAATTTTTAAATATATAGTTTGGGGCTTAACTGTTTAAACACAAATGAGCAAAAAATCCTTAATATTAGGGCTGCAACTAAAGAATATTTTGCAAATCGTTTAATCTGTTGATTTTTTTATTTTATTTTTTATTAATTGATTAGTAATTGGATAGTCAAAGGTTCCTTAAAGAAGATGTTTTACAAAATTAAACTAGGGGAAACTAAAACGTTTTCTCTGTCAGCTGAAGGCATGTTTTAGAGTCTCTATACTCCAGTTAACGATTAAGTAAATTAGTTGACAATTATTTAAAAATTCGATTAATCCAATTCATTGTTTCAGCCCTACTTAATATGCATTTTGTTTTTGTAACTGGCAATTATTAGAAAATTACTCTTTGTTTTATTATGTTTATTCACATTGCAAATCTATGCATTAATATAAAACTGCTTCTTTCCAAGGGCTTATATGAGGTGAAAAGGGCTTTTTTACATCTACCGGTAGCTATATTGAGTCCTAATCCATAGAATACCCCACTGGATCCTACTTCTGATGCAGTATTAACTTTCAATTATGTGTGAATATTTTGGTTAAGTGGATTTGAGCCATGCATTGTTATTGATGGCAACTCAAATTCACCTCAGTGTTATTTTTTAAACATTCAATCTAAAATGTCTGCTTAAGTCCTAAGACTTGCATTTATTATAGCTGCAACAGTAATAATAACAAAATAAACTTTTTGTTATTCAAACTAAACCTGCATGTAATTACAGCCTTGCTTATTAGCACTAAAACTTAACAGCTATTTTTGTTTTTTCTGTCCTCCAGATAAGGAGAAGGGGCCCGGGAGGCTGATGAAAAAGGGGCTGATTCTCATCCTGGTCGGCCATATCAACTTTATCCTGGGAGCTATCGTCCATGGCAGCGTCCTGCGTCACATTTCCAAACCCAGTCAGCAAATTAGTACCAACTACACGGTAGCCAACATCATTTCTGTCACGTCTGGCCTGCTGGTGAGTTACCTCTTCAGACCATTAGTTTGCAGTTTGGATGGTGAAACGGAACCAATTAAAAGCATTTAATATGTGTTATTTGAACTCTTTGTCTTGATATAGTGTTACGCAATCCAAGGCATTATTGTAATATAATGATATATTAAAATTACTTTATTAAAAAAAGCTTAATCTTTGTTCCCACTCAAATCTAATATCACATGTTGTGTGCAAACACCCAGAGGTAAGTAAAGTTCCCAAAAACTGTACTCAAGAGTAACATTACTTCATCACATATTTACTCTGTTAAAAGTTTCTATCCAAGAAATTAAGTCAAGCAAGAATGAAAAATTA